TGTGAAATATGGCTCTAGCCTTGAACTGATGAAGCCAACCATGGCTGGCATTAAGAGATGCGTCCTCTGATTCTTCGCTGTGTTTCTGCTTCAAGTCTTCATAAAGGCTTTTAGCTTTCTCTTGAATCGGCGTTAAGCTGAGTGGGACTCAAGACTGATGCTGACCCTGCATCCACAAACCAAGCAGTTTCTCCGTCTTCTCCATCACTCTTCTGCACTTCTTTGGTGTTATTGTTGATGTCACTGACAGCAGACCTCACGTGTTCTGTGATCCTGTCCTTGTTCTTTAGAATCCTGCTGCTTTTTTAAAACCATGTTGAACGATTCATCTTTTAAGAACAAGTGATGTCTCCCATCTCTTCACCTTGCTCCCCTTTCTCAATTATTTTCACTCTTCTTTCCATCGTTACCGTTTCTTAGCAGTACCAGCTACATGACTGCCACTTTATGCTTGCTTCCAAGCATCCTGGGCGTGAAATAAAGATACCGGACTCCTGTGCTCCGTATAGTGCATACTCAGTCACCAGTCGTGTCCGACTCACTGCGACCCCATGGACCACGGCCCGCCAGGCCCCTCTGTCCGTGGGATTCTACAGGCAGGAGACCTGGAGTGGGTTGCCATTCCCTCCTCCTGCTCTATGTAGTACTGGACAGTAAATGCACAAAAGCACACCCACTTACAGAGGATGCACGCAGGTGACCGTGTACACTAGGCCCGTGAACTCACCTGGGCGATTAGCACGAGGATGCGTGTTCACGTCCCTGGACGTGTGCGCAGGGTCTTGGGGGAGATACTGGTACCTGCGGCATGGCCAAGTGAGAGTGCTGTAACATGCCCGCCCTCTGAGTTCTCTGGAAGTGATTACTCTCGGCCCCTAGATATGGGTTACATTAGATGCCTGCTCCTCAGGCTGAAGTTTTGATGCAAGCCAGTAAGCCTCTTGCACAGAAAGGCTGACTGCCGCTGTGCTGGGCTCCGGGGTGGGTGAGTCTGTGAGCCTGTGAGAGCTGCTTCTCAGCTCGCTGTGGCCTGTGCGCGTCACAGAGCCAGGCTCCACTGGATTCCCAAGCGAGGTCCTCTGGGCGCTCCTTTCTCAGTGTAGGTCTCTTAAGTTGGGGTGCCCGTTGTGGGGTTCAGACCCTTTGTTCCTCAGGGAGAAGCTCAGGGCTGTGAGTTGCCTCTCTCTCACCAAAATTGTGGTTTGTGGGAAAATTTTGTCTCAGTCTCTCCTCCCTGTTTTGACGTGGCTTTTCACCCTTTGCCTGATACGGAGTCACTCAGTTAGTTGGGCGTCTCTGTCAGAGGAGGAGACCTTTTCTTTCTTTGCTGAATGTAGCTACAGGTTTGGCGTGTCTGTGTGGGAGGTGTGTTTAGCATCCTCCTAGGTTGTCGTTTTGAACGAAGACCCAGTGGGGACCATTTTCAAGGCTGCTTACCGCAACTAAATTCTGAAAACCTTGTAGACCATGTTAGGTATTTATTTTATTCTAAAGGTTATAGGAAACTAGGAAAGAGTTTTAAACAGAGGATTCATAAGCTCAGATTTGAATTAAAAAATAACTGTCCAGTGTCAAGAGTAGGTAGGCTAGTGTGGATGCTGGAGACTAAAGAAAAGATCACCTCTAGAGGACGAGTACGCTGTGTGGTGTCCTGAATTTCAGTGGTAGCCGTGGAAGTGGAAATAAGTGGATGCCATAAAAGGGTGTCAATAATGTAAACTTAGTGTGCCTGAAAGCTTTGGTGAGGGAGTTCAGAGGAAGAAGTCAAGGATGATTCTCCATGTTCTGTCTCCTCCAGTGGTGTGGACGGCCGTGCTGTTTCCTGGGACAGGACCAAAGAACAATATACGTGCAATGTTTTAAGAGGAGGAGGGGCTGGCAGGAAGTTAGGAGAAGAACCAGGAGATGATGGTGACACATTCTTTCCATCTAGTGATTTGTCTGTAATTTTTAATTCCTTCTGGCTTGAAAACAGTATAATCAGTGTTGAAGAAAAGACATGTCTAAAAGATAGCTGGCTTCTTTTCTTCAGCATTTTTTTTTCAACACATATATTTTTCAGAATTCATTATGTGAAAGACATTGTGTTGAGTAATGGTTAATGTTCCAGGTGAAATGGCAAATTCTAGCTCAGACAGTTGTCACAAGGTATTGTTTACTGAGCATTGTATCAGCAGGGACGTCAGACAGCCTAAATGCATAGTTTCCCCAAGCTGTAATAATCTGTGCAGTCTTTTCTTCTGTGTGATACACCTGTCAGAACAACAGGTAAAACTAGGGGGCTCAATGAAAATAGTCAGCTAAAAGAATCAGAACTTAGTGACATCTCAGAGGTGTCACTAAATTCTGATTCTTTTAGTTGACTATTTGAGCTCTAGAAACATGATTTTTGTTTACTTTCCCAGAAGTGAGCAGAGAGCTCTTTCTCATTAACCAAACTGATGTCAAAGTTCCACTGGTCCACTGTCAGTTCATTAAGGTAGAATAAGGAATAGAAATGCCAGCTGCCCAACAGCATCTTTTCTCCCCTCTAAGAAAGCCAGGGTATTGTTTACTGAGCATTGTATCAGCAGGGGCGTCAGATACCCTAAATATATACTTTCTCCAAGCTGTAATAATCTGTGCAGTCTTTCTTCTGTGTGATACACCTGCCAGAACAACAGGTGAAACTCGGGGGCTCACTGAAAAGTTTTAGTCTTTTTCCTCTTCTCTCTGTACCACCATCACCATCCATACCCCCTGCCCCCATCTCCGGTGCGCCTGCCGCATCTGGCTTCTCTTTGGCGACTGAGTGAACTCAGAACATCCAGTGTTAGAAATGTGACTGTGTCAGATTTGGTTTTACTGCTTTGCCATTGGTTTGTTTTGAATCCAGTTGTATTTGGTGTCTTGGATATTCAAGCTCAAGAAAAAGTAAATAAAGCACTCAGCAAACTGTAGTATGTTGGATTCCTCATTCTTACCCTAGATACTTATGAGAAGCTAAAATATGGTTCAGATTTGGGTTGTGAGAGAAAGTTTTGTTTGTTTTTTCGGCTTGAACAACCGTAAGCATAGAGTTGCTGTTTACCAAGAAGGGGAGACTGAGTGGCGTGAGTTTGGGGAAACAGTACGTGGCTGAGACTGAGATGCCTGTTACACTTTCTGTGGGTGTAAATGTTGTTTGGCAGCTGGGTATGTGGTTCAGAAGTTAAGAGGAGACCTCTTGGCTTTATTAAATGTGCATGTTTGGGGCATGTTGATGCCATTTAAAGCCATAAAACAAAATGAAATCACCAAAATGATAGGGGTAGAAAAACGAAGTTCTGGGATTTAGCACAGGACACAGTAAATTCAGGAAAGTAGTATTCTTAAAGCCAAGTGAAGAGCGTTTCAAGGGTGAGAGAACACAGCAAGGGCTGAAGGGAAGCGGGTGGATGAGTTAGACGTGAGGGGCCGTCCCTGCTGGGCCAGCGCTTAGGGACCCGCCTTCCATGCCGCGCACACGGGCTCGCTCCGGGCTGGGACTGAGACCCCACCTGCTGTCCGGTGGCTCAGCCTGTGGGCCGCAGCTCAGAGAAGCCTGGAGCCGCGGCAGAAGGACCCTGCGCAGCCCGGGAGGCTCAGGGAAGAAGCAGACGTGGGGAGGCTGGGGGACTGGCGCATGTGCTCATTACCTTGACTGTGGGATGGTTTCACGGGTGTGCAGATATCCTTCACACATGGTGCATGTTACACACGCGCAGTTTTTATATCGCTTATTTCTCAATAAGTGAAGTCGCCCGTCGTGTCCGACTCTTTGCGACCCCATGGACTGTAGCCTACCAGGTTCCTCCGTCCATGGGATTTTTCCAGGTAAGGTTACAGGAGTGGGTTGCCATTTCCTTCTCCAGGGGATCTTCCCGACCCAGGGACTGAACCTGGGTCTCTCGCTACAATGCAGTAGATGCTTTACCGTCTGAGCCCCCAGGGAAGTCCAGTTTCTCGATAAAGCAACATCTTAAACATTTCTTATATTAAATATTCATTTATAGTTTTTATTTTTTTAAGGAGGGAGTGAACAGCTGTCAAACGCTTTTGATAGATCAAGTAAGATGAGAATTTTCTAGGAAATACCATCCGTGGTTGCCTTACTGTCTGTGGAGTTGTGGGGATAAAAGTGTGATTTGTATGAATTCAAGAGAGAATGCAAAGAGAGGAAGTGGAGACAGAGCTCCAGACAGCTTTTTAAAAGAGTTTTGCTGAAAAGAGGATTTGAAAAATGAGATTGAAGGGAGATGTGAACTCAAAAGGAAGCTTTTTCTTTTGTTTTTAAGAAGGGAACAGTTAACACCTTGCAAAGGTAGGTAGGATAGCTTATTTTTATATAGATGGGAATAAATTGACAGAAAGGAAAAATAGGTGCTATGTGAACGGAAAATTGTCATGGGAAAAGGCAAGAATTGCTAGAGTGATATCCATATATTCCTTTGCCTTTGATCTTGAGAATTCTGGCCATAATTATGACAATGAATTTCTAAATCTGTTTGGATATACTTTTTATTTTATTCATTGTTTATTTTAAAACTTTATGGGTCACTTTTGAAGATAGCTTTATTTAAAACCATGTATGTTATTTATATGTAATTGCCATATTTGATATTCTTTATCCGGTGTATTCTTAAGGTTCATACTGATTATATACTCGTGTGTCTTATTTTGTTTCAAGAAATTACAATATCATGCTTCTTCAAATAGAATGTAGACCTTCCAATCCAGCATTTACCAGCATAACTGACATTGTTACATCAAGCTACCATTATTAGCTGCTAAGAGTCTTTTCTTAACAAGATATGCTCTCTATATAAAGTAACTATGTGAAATAGTTTTACAGAAGAATTTGACAAAGTAAATTTTGCACTTCTAGTACTCTTAGGATTGATTGCTTTGAGGGTGGGAAAAAAATGATGTAATCTTTGCTTTTGGTAGCAGTTTCTTCAAATTTTCTGTTTGACAACCCTGACCATTAATTCTTTCCATAGGTAACGGGAAACTCAGGAACTTTCAAAAGAAGTTTTTTATTTTCTGCCCTGTCTTATTTGGGTTTTGAAACTTATCAAGTCATTTCCCAGGCTGTTGTGGTTCATGCCGCAGCCAAAGGTAAGCCTCAGCTAAACATCGGGAACACTTAGAGTTATTTGTATTTGTTATATTTTGATAATTACTTATTATGTTTGAATAGATAATGTAACTGACATGTTATAGGCTAGATTATTTTCTGCTTTTCTCTACTTGTCGGTCTGATATCTCTTTTTCTCTCTACATACACACACACACACACACACAAGATTATTTTCTGCTTTTCTCTACTTGTCGGTCTGATATCTCTTTCTCTCTACACACACACACACACACACACACACACACACACACACACACACACACACACACACACACACACACACACACACGTTCCCTGGTGGCTCAGATGGTAAAGAATCTGTCTGCAATGCAGGAGACCCCGCCGTGGAGAAGAGAATGGCAACCCACTCCAGTATTCTTGACTGGGAAATCCCATGGACAGAGGAGCTGGCGGGCTACAGTCCATGGGGTTGCAAAGAACTGGACACAACTGAGCAACTAACAGTTTCACTTTTAACTTTATGTGTGTGTGTGTGTGTTTGTCTGTACACAGTAGAGCCTGGAGGAGGAAATGGCACCCCACTCCAGTATTCTTGCCTGGAAAATTTCATGTGCAGAGGATCCTGGTGGTCTGCAGTCCATGGTGTTGCAAAGAGCTGGACACGGCCGAGCAGCCGAGCACACACACAGTAGGGACACACAGACAAGCAGAGACAAGCGGCAAGTAATGCAGCCTGTAATACGCCAGCTGTATTATGTATTCAAATGTGTGAACTGTCTTCTTGCAGCTAGAGCTCCTGCAGTGAGAAATACTCTGTTCATACTTGAGAGTTTTGTAGGAACCTTGGGCTGGGAACGTTTTTCACATTTTTAAAGGGTTGAGGGGTTGTGGCAGGGTGGGAGGATATACCACAGATCAATCTGGCCCACAAAGCCTTAAAACATTTATTCTCTGAATCTTTACAGAACAAGCTTGCCAACCTCTACTGTGTAATGATACAGTGATTCTGTTGTTTTCTTAATACCATGGTGGTGTATTCTTCTTGATATAGTTAAGAAAGACCCAATTACTTTGAGATAAAAATATTTTATTTATAAACAGAATGCAACTTGTTACTAAATATCAAATAACTGGCTGAAAAATAGAAAAATGCCATCAAATTTTTTATTTAGCATATCATAGATATGTAAACATATATTAAGACTTGCCATATTTTAAAAATTAAATTTGGTTAAGTCAGTTGCGTATGTGGACAGAGCCAAAATTTGGACTATATCAGGGCTTCCCTGGTGGCGCGGTAGTAAAGAATCTGCCTACCAGGGCAGAAGTTGTGAGAGACTTGACATCGATCCCTGGGTCAGAAAGATCCCCTGGAGGAGGGGATGACAGCCCACGCCAGTGTTCCTGCCTGGAGAATCCCATGGACAGAGGAGCCTGGCAGGCTACAGTCCCTGGGGTCCCAAGGAGTCAGACATGAGTGAAGGGGCTTAGCACACCAGTGCAAGAGACACCGGCTTGATCCTAGTCTGGGAAGATCTCACATGTCTTGGAGCACCTGAGCCACAACTGTGGAGCCTGCGCTCCAGAGCTGGGAGCCGCGGCTACTGAAGTCCGCGTCCTCAGCCAGAGACGCCGGCGCCCTGCGGGAGGAGCCCTGCGCCCCACAGCCGGGGAAGAGCCCGCGCAGCAACAGAGACAGCACGGCCAAGTGAAATAAACAGTTACAGAGACCAGAACCGGACCCAGCCCACTAGGGAAAAGCTCTTGTAATTTATGACTTAATAAGCCTGTTTGTGTTCCACAGCCCTCACTTTTTAACCATCACCAAGTTGATTAGGAAAGAAGAGATTTGATTTTGAATAGATGTTCTTATTAATGTTCTAGAAGATGAAGAATCTGAAATTGGCTAAAAATTACTAGTTATTTATTGATTTCATTTGTCCATGATTGTTCTTATATTTTTTAAAAAAGCAGATACTTGAATTGCTATGTTTTTGTTTTTTCTTTCTTTTTTCAACATATCATTTTCATGAAAGACAAAGGGAGGAGTTGGTTTTGTCACTGGCTAATGACATATTTTGGCAGATACTTACAACTCAGCTTCTTAAAGCTCCCTAGACATTTTTTACTATTTAAAAAAAAATTTTAATCGGAGGATAATTTCTTTACAACATTGTGTTGGTTTTTCCTGTGCAACAACATCAATCAGCCATAAATATACATATATCCCCTCCCTCTAAAACCTGCCTCCCACATCCATCCTGCCCCTTTATTATTATTATTATTTTTCTGCCCCTCTAGATTGTCACAGAGCACCAGGCTGAATGACCCCGCAGTCCTGTTACTGGACATACACCCTGAGAGAACCAGAATTCAAAAAGACACATTACCCTGTTATTCACTGCAACACTATTTACAATAACCAGGACATGGAAGCAACCTAGATGTCCATTAGCAGGTGAATGGATAAAGAAGTTGTGGTGTGTCTCTGTGCGCATGCGTGCACATGCACGCACACATGCACATGCACACACACATGCACACGTGCATACTACAATATCACTCAGCCGTGAAAAGGAACGGATTTGAGTCAGTTGAGCTGAGGTGGATGAAGCTAGAGTTTGTTATACAGAGTGAAGTAAATCAGAGAGAAAAACAAATATCACACATTAACTTAACATAAAGCTCCCTAGACTTTTCATCATAGCTTCAACTCATAACAACCTTGCCAAGTAGTTAGGAGAAGCCATGTTTTCATGTTGTAATATTAATGTTTTTAAAGTATCCTTGCGAGTTAGGCCTAGTGGTTGAACTTTAAAGATTTTTCTCTGTGCGTATGTCCCATTATATCAGTTTTTCAAAAGAAGCTCACAATATAAATTTCTTCAAAGTACCAGAGCAGAGATTAGCACTGTTACCCACTTCTTTTTGCATCTATCACTCTTAGTTTCAGCGTGCTTTAGCAGTGCTTTGTTATAGAAATGAGGTCAAAGATTCTTCAGAATTTCTGATCTTCCTTTATAGGTGATTTCTGTTTCTAATTTCTTTTGCTTCTATGTAAAAGTGTTCATGTGTCTTAGAATATTGCCAACTGGCTTGGAAAGACTTACTTTAGTGTGTTTTTTTTCTTTTATAGTCTTCAAAATTGAAGAAATCCTTGAACAAGCAGACTACTTATATGAAAGTGGAGAAACAGAAAAACTTTACCAATTGCTAACCCAGTACAAGGAAAGGTGGGTTATGTATCATAGGCCCAGGTGTGCTGTTGACTGAAATTTTCTGTTATATAATGATTAAAATACTCTCGGTGCTGGGAATTTTTATAGTTTTTAAAAGTTTTTACTTCAAAGTAATATTTCTTAGAGTTTAATTTATAGTATGATTTTTTTTCTTATGTTAAGTGACTCAGAAGTGCTACATATATTTCATTGATTTAGAAAAGATGGTTCTACGTACTCATTCTAGGTAATGTTGACATAGTTTTTCCTTTTGTTACTTTACTTTGAATACAAGGTAGTCATTGAATAGATATTTATCTTCTTTATCTATGTCATGTATTTCTCATTTCTTCTGAGTTAATTTCTTACTTCTATAAGATTTAAATGAACTAGGATTTTTTTGTCACCTTTGAATAATACCTGTGTATCCCTGTAAAGCACAGTCTCAGAAACTAAAAATAGCTCCTTTTTCTGTTTTTAGTATTAGCATACATGCTTAGTCCAGCACATTAATGTGTGCTCATTTTGTGGAGGAGAATGGAGATGGAAAGAGGGGATTCAGCCCAATAGAATAAATCAAATCAGACTAAATCGCATTTCCAGATCGTTGATCTACCTCATCTACTGAACTAAAAATATGAGCCATTTTAAACTGACTTTCTTAGATTTCCCCAAACCAATTGTCCCCAAAAGACCCATCAATCTACTCCCTAAGTATCTGTAGGATCCAGCTTTTCTTTTCCATCGTCCGCTCGGTACCTTGAGTGGTTGCCTTGGCATTTTGTAGTCACTCCAGTAATTGCGGTGCAAGCTGTAAGGTGGTTGTTCCATGGCTCAGGCGTGTCCGACTCTTGCTGACCCCATGGACTGTAGCCCGCCGGCTCCTCTGTCCACAGGATTCTTCAGACAGGAGCCCTAGAGGGGGTTGCTGTTTCCTCCTCCAGGGGGTTTTCCCGACCCAGGGGTTGAGCCCACGTCTGCGGCACTGCAGGTGGATTCTTTACTACTGAACTGCCTAGGAAGCGGTCAGGTGGTTATTTTATATTGACTGGATTATAGATATGCTATTGCTGCATACCCTCCATTTCTCTTTTTAATGATTCTTCCTTTGCGTTTTATTTTGATTGATGTGTCCAGCAGTCTCTGGCTGGGCCGGCCTTCTTCGCTGCGTGTGGGCTGTCTCTGCTTGCTGAGAGGGGGCTGCTCTCTGTGGTGGCCCCTCCTGTTGAGGAGCACAGCCTGTGCGTGTGTGCGCTTCGCTGCTCCACGGCATGTGGGATCTTCCTGACACTGATCACATCCACGTGCCCTGCATTGGCAGGTGGACTCTTAACCACTGGACCACCAGGGAAATCCCTACCTTCAGTTTCACTCAATTTTATGTGAATACTATTTTTGTTAAGAAAAGTATAACGTAGTAGGTTTAAAGAGAAACATTTAATAAAAGGAATTTTTATTAAAATGGCTTCCCAGGTGGCACAGTGGTAAAATATCCATCTGCCGATACAGGAGACACAAGAGACATGGGTTTGATCCCTGGTCCAGGAAGATCCCCTGGAGGAGGAAATGGCAACCCACTTGCCTGGAAAATTCCATGGACAGAGGAGCCTGGCAGACTCTAGTTCATAGGGTTGCAAAGAGTTGGACATGACTGAGCAACTGAGCATGCACACACAATTTGTTTTATTTATTAGACAGTTCAGTCTTATATAATTGTATTTAAATTGCAGTTCTTCAAGGAGTCCAGAGCCCTTGCTTTAAATATTCCATGCATCATGGTATGGGTGACATATTCAAAGATGGGATTTATTTTGAGATTATATTATATTTAATCATCATTCATTAACAGGTATTTATGATATACATATATTTGTATGCCAGGTACTATATTTGCAGCTATGGATACAGCATTCTGTTTTATAGTGCCTAACCCTGTCTATAAATTAATGTATTTTATAGTACTGTCTGAGCCAGTCAGTGAGTTGTCTGAAGCACAGTGCCACTGAACTCAAATGTCAAGTTATATGTTGAATTTTGTAGGGAAATTGTTTAGAGAATTCAAATATAAAGATTTTTCTAAGGAAGTTAGTATTTTAGATATTACAGGTAAGTTAATGTTTGTATGTAATGTTGGATATTTTGGAGGAAGTTTTAGCACACACATAGATTTGTGTGATAAAAAATAATAAATTTAACATTATGTATAGTGGATTTCGATATTGTGTTGCTTGCTATATCCTCACTGACCTGAAAGACCGTATGTATTCATTAGTGATATGACCTTTAACCATGAAAATGTGAGCTAAAATGGTTGTTGCTTTATATTTATTTCACATTAGTGAAGATGCAGAGTTACTGTGGCGTTTGGCACGGGCATCACGTGATGTAGCTCAGCTTAGTGGAACGTCAGAAGAGGAGAAAAAGGTTTTGGTATATGAAGCCCTAGAGTATGCTAAAAGGGCACTTGAGAAAAATGAATCAAGTTTTGCGGCCCATAAGGTGAGGTGCTTACAGTAATGAAACTCTTACCTTGTATTGACATAGACATTGGTCTATCCTTATCTATCATACATAACTTACCTAGGAAAGAAATAGCACTCTTTTAAAAATTTACTTTTATAAACTTTTTTTTAAAAAGAAGTAGTATTTTCTTCGTATTCTTGAACATCTATTCTAGTTTCATTAGTGTGCTTGGTAAGTTACTTTCGTGAAGGCTTATTTTTAAACTGAAGCGTTAGTAGTTCCATCAGCTACGTCTGTCTTTAGTTCTAGTTGTAAAAACACTAGACAAACGTTTTCTCATTTTCCCCACATTTTATTTCTGTTTTATGTGGGGATAGATAGCAGCTGGACAGCAGAGATCTAGTGTAACTTTTTACATGTGACTCCACGAGCGTCTGGATTTCCTGACTGTTTAGAACACGCTTTTCAATGGACACAGTGGGGAGGCCAAGGGACATTATTGATATTTTGGATTAGAACCTTACTTTGCCATATCAGACTGTCCCCAGGGGAGCCCCCGAGTCATTGTGACAGCTGAATTCTGTGTTCACGCATTTGCAAATGCTCCCTTTAGGGCATGGTTCCATCTGCCCTGATCCCCACCACCACCGTTTCTTGTTTATATTAAGAATAAAACATACAGACCCTTTAAATTTGTTGAGACTTGTTTTATGGCCCAGAATATGGTCCATGTTCGTAAATGTTCTTTTTGCACATGGAAGGTATATTTATCCAGCTGTTGTTGAGCATATGTCATACATGTCATTCCGGTCAAGTTGTTTCACACATGGTAGTGTGTGTGTGTTGATGTTGCTTTCTCTCTTCATCCCACTCTCTCCTTTCCCCGCAGTGTCCATAAGTCCATTCTTTACATCTGCATCTCCATTCCTTGCCTGCAAATAGATTGATCAGTACCAGTTTTCTAGATTCTGTATATATGGGTTAATATACTGTATTTGCTTTTCTCTTTCTGACTTACTGCACTCTGTATAACAGGTTTCAGGTTCATCCATCTCCCTAGAACTGACTCAGATTTGTTTTGTATGGTTGAATAATATTCCATTGTATATATGTACCATATATTTATCCATTTATCTGTTGCTGGACATCTGGGTTGCTTCCATGTCCTAGCTGTTGTAAATAGTGCTACTGTGAACATTGGGATACATGTGTCTTTTTCAGTTTTGGTTTCCTCAGGGTATATGCCCAGTAATGGGTTTGCTGGGTCATAACAGTCATTTTATTCCTAGTTTTTAAGGAAGCGCCATACTGTTCTCCATACTATCGTAGCTGTATCAATTTACATTCCCACCAACAGTGCAAGAGGCTTCCCTTTTCTCCACACCCTCTCCAGCATTTATTGTTTGTAGACTTTTTGATGATGGCCATTCTGACTGGTGTGAGGTGACATACCTCATTGTAGTTTTGATTTGCATTTCTCATCCTGAATCTGTGCCTTTCCACAGCACCTCGGTTTATGAAGCTTGGATATTTGGAATCAGTTCTTAGAGAAGAAACTCAGATTGTTTCAGTTTGGGTTTGTTGTCCAGCTGTGGACATGAGGGCAAAGTCACAATTGACAAATATGGCCATTATTACTATAGCAATGTGGGTGTGAAATAAGAAACAGTCCCCCCCCCCAAAAAAAGAAACAGTTCCCAGAAAATCGGTTGAGAAAATAAAATGATGATTACTAAATTGCGCATTTTTCTAAATTTATATCCACACCATAAATATGAATCATTATATCCCCATTGTGTTGGTAACTTTCTTAGAAATTCACTAATCTCTGTCTTACAGTCCTCTATAAACATGTCCTAACTTAAGTTCCTTAACGGCTGTGTCTACTTTTTCTTTGTATGTTCTAGGATATTTAATACGGGTTTTGTGCTCAGCTTTCTGTTAAATGAGAATAACTACTGAGGAATTGCAGCCTGGTATTGAATGGAATATTACTGAATGTTAGTATTCTTACACCTTTGTTTCTTCTGTTTTTAGTGGTATGCAATCTGTATTAGTGATGTTGGAGATTATGAAGGAATCAAGGCTAAAATTGCAAATGCCTACATTATCAAGGAGCATTTTGAGGTACTGATGGACTTCAAAAGTCGTTAGTTTTCTGAATAGATTTCTGTTTCACTTATTTCTTGCTGTATAGCAAACTACCTAAAGCTTAGTGGCCTAAAACAATGACAAATTATTTCTCAAAATTCTGTGGATTAACTGCACAGTGGTGCTTCCATTCTGCTCATTGTGGCTGAGGTCATTTAAAGGGCTTCCTTCACCTGGACCCTCCGCTCGGACAGGAATGGGCGAGATGCCCTCTCACGCGTGACGTTTCTCTCTACTTTTCTTCTCATCATTTAGTAGTGTAGCCCACACTTGTCTATAGCACAGTCGCTGCTTCCAAGAGTGAGCGTGCCAGGGGGAAAGTTCCACTGTGCAGACTTTTATCACGCATGTTTGCATCACACTTAGTAATAATCTTTCAACCGAAACAAGTCATTTGGCCAAGACCAGAGAATGTGAGAGGGGTTAAACAAAGTCCTGAGTGCCAGGAGGCATGGTCTCAGCAGTCTCATATAATCAACATACCACTTGCAGAGGTAATAGTGCTATATATGATCTCTGAGTTTTAATAATTCCCCCAGAGTTCAGTTACTTATTATTGTAAGCTCTTCCTTAGGTGCCAGAAATTCTCCCAGAATTTGTATATTTCTTGTTGTGCTTACACATTATTCTGTTGTCCAAAAACAATCAACAAAAAACCTGCAGCTAAAAACCCAGTCTATTTATCTTTGCTGTTATAGACCATCTCAAAAATATAAATTAAGAGAAAGTGATGAAAACAAACATATTTATCGTTACTGATTCAATTCCTAGTTGTAATGAGTAGTGGAAAAGAGCATTGGACTAGGAGTCAGGAGACCTAGCTTCTTATTTGGGCATCGATATATACATGTATACATACACACACACACACACAAACGTACACATATACATTGATATACATACATATATATTTGAATTTAGTAATATAGATTTTTTTTAGTAATATAGATTTTCTATATAGTAATATAGATTTTTCACATTTTAAGACCTTTGAAATCAGATTGTGTTATTATAGTCAGCAGTGCTTTTTCCTTAGTGGTATATAAAATAATGATGTGTCATAACTTTTATGTTATCTTAGAGATTCAGTGAAATAGAATCTCAGTGGCATTAGATAAATCATTTAAATTATTTTGTGCCTTGGCATGTAGAAATACCTGACAAAAAACTTCCAAGTGAATGATGAAATACTGCATACAATAAATTAATATATACTTAAGAGAAACTATGAAGACTATAGGTTATTTAAAAATAAGCAATGTTTTTAAGTGTGTATATTAACTATATTTTTTAAATGACAGTGTTTAGTATTTACATACTTAAAAGATCATTTAAACTACTTCTATTTCAGATTCCATTATTACATCTAAAGCCATAAGGAATTACTCTTTGTATTGTTTTTGAAGACACTTAAACTTACGACAGAAAGGATTATAAAAGAAAAGGTTTGCTTGAGTACAGCCCCTCTGAATACATCCCAAAAGTAAAATAAACTGTAATTCCCCAAGGCATCAGCTGTATGTGATGAGTTAGCTTCTTTCCTTTGCATCCAAATGGACTAGCTCTGTACCATTCTTGGCAGAATGGAAAATATAGTAACTTGTATAATATTTTGTAGGGCTTAATTTTCTAGTGGAACTCTGATTTGGAAAGGCTGCTTAGAATATGAGCTGTATATACTTTAAAATATATTCTGCTGTGTAAAGCAGAATATACTTTAAAATATATTCTGCTGTGTAAAGCATGTAATTTTATTTATAGAAAAACCAAAATTAGGTCAATGCTGATTCCTACCCATATTATTGGTAACAAGATTTCCCCAAGTCATACGTGATTAGCCTTATTTTAGCTATTCTCTCTCCCATTACTAACATTATAATCAGTGTTCATAATAAAGGGTCTGAAACTGACAGAAAAGTAAAAATGATGATTCTGATGATAGAAAATATTACTGTGTTAAGCACCTCCTGTTAATTTGCTCATTTAATTTTTACCACAACCGTATAAGTTAAGTGTACTGCTTTCCTGATTCTGTACAAGAGCAAACTCAGGCTTGGAAAGAATACAGAACTTGCTAAGGTCATAAAGTTAGAGGTCATTGAACTGTGATTTGAACCCTATTAGTCTGGCTTCAGAGTCACTCTAGTAACCAGTACAGATACTTAAAAATGTATGTTTCACACATTATCAACTGAAAGTGAAAATGTGTTTTTGCAGAAAAGTGTACGCTAGGAAGTCTTAATTTTTTTAAAAAGGTTTTTTTTAAAAAAATCTTTAGTAGGATTAACATTAATCTGTGAGATTTCCTTAGTGGTTTTCAACAAAATAATGAAAAATAGAGGAGAAATTTCTTTAAAGTTATTCTGTAGTTTATGCTTTACATTAATTCACATAGGACTTCCACATAGTAAATAGAAATTAGAGAGACTATCAATATATTTTATATTATACATACTTATTCTATTAATGAATTCTTTGAATAAGTAGTGTTGATTCTCCCTTGGTTAAATATAGATGGGGAAGTTAAACCAAATTTGCACATAGGAAGAGACTTTCTAAAATTATGTATTTTCTTTTTCTAACAAAGAATAATTTTACTTAACAGTCATATAGGACTTGCCACAAAGAACTTTACTATTTAGTCTTCCTTTAATCTAGAAGATATAACAGAGCTATATATTGTTACTGTTTTGCTTTCTTTCCTCTTGCTACATCCTACTGTCAGTTTCTGAATCTTATAAAATAGTAACCTATGTATAAGTAATTAATAGTGTGCTGAAATATATTTAATTAAAGAGTCAAAAGGAAGAAAATTGGTGTTGATTATCGTAGAAAAATTGAAATTCTGGGTTGCAATTTTTTAAAAAAATTATGGGTTTTGTCAGCAATATGGTAAAGTACTTTTTGGTGTTTAGAAAACAAATATGATTCATTTTCTCGTTTCTTGTTAGAAAGCAATTGAGCTGAACCCTAAAGATGCTACTTCAATTCACCTTATGGGTATTTGGTAAGAAAATTTCTTGAAATAAATATTTCAGTGGTACTTAGTATGATGTTATTTTGTAGTATATAAAAAAGTAAAATGTTTGAAATATTATTTGAAAGTCAAGAGTGCTTAATCCACTAGATTAACTTAGAGTTGTACTGGTTATTTAGTGTTTAGTATTTAGAAAATACTAAATTTGATTGTGATTTTGTTAAATATTGTTATTCAGATTATTTAGAAACAGGTATTAAGATTAAAAATGCATTGAAACTTTTCATTAAATTTTGCATTCCCTTTTTTGGGAAAGATTATTCTTGTTTACCAGACTGAATGGATTGGATTAAGCTAACTATACAGTAATACAGTAGGGTGTGTCAGATACAGCGTCATTCAGTATCTTTGCATTTTTAGGTAATCTCTGTTTAGAGCACATCCTTATTTTGCCAGTATGAGCATACACCAGTGTGTTAAATGCTGACTGGTTTGAGGCTGTTGGTTTGACCACCATTTTCTTTACGTGTGGTCTACAGAGCTGAGGAGTATTTATTGTCTTCTGTGAGGGGTAACAGTGCAAAGGCCCGTCTGAAGCTCTCTTTAAAGAGAAATGAATACCCTTTAAAAGAGAGGTAAATACAGGATGGAGGACATGTTTAGCCAAACACTTACTGAGTGAGAATTAATGGTGATTGAGGGACAGGAATGCAGATGCCGGCGACCAGATATGAATGAACTACAATTCTTCCTCAAGGACCTCAGACCCTAATCAAAGATCGAACACTTTTTCCCTCCTTATTTCAGAAGTTGTCGAGAGTTTTGATGTTATTTTTTAATTAACCTTTTTATTTTGCACTGGATTACGGCTGGTTAACGCTGCTGTGAGAGTTTCGGGGGGACAGCAGGGGCCTCCGCCGTACAGACCCACGTGTCCCTTCCCCCCCGAGCCCCCTCGTCCAGGCGGCCACGTGACGCCGAGCGGGGCTCCTGCGCCTGCAAGGAGCCGAGGGCTGCCCGTGGGGGCGGGGGGTGAGCGGGGAGGCTGCTCGGGGCGTGTGGGCGGACAGGGCTGCCGTGTGTGAGACGGGTGGGCCGCCGGCCGCCTCTACCGTCGGGCGCTCGCCATCGCCACGCGCCTCCGCACTTAAGACTTGCTGGTTGCTTTTGTCATTTAGGTATCCCATGTTTTGTTACTGTTTTTTTAAAAACTTCTCTTGAGTTAGTTTTTACGTAAGAAAAATAGGGGTAATGATTCTATCTCATTTTATTATTGTAAGGAGTAGATGAGAGAATCACTCAGCACTTTGCACAAAGTGCGTACTCAGTGGTGAACGATACACTGTATTATCCTTACTGTTGTAAATGTTGCTTACACCTAGTCGCAAAATACACCATGATCGATGGATCAGTATAAATAAGTCTCTAAATAATTCAGTATAAATGTTAACCTACTGGATATTATGAGAAGCATAAGCTGTTTAAATATACAATAGGAGAAGATTCCTTTTGTATGTTAAGATGCTTAGTCCTCTTTAAGAGAAAAGAAGGTGCAATTTGAATATATGTGTCATTTTCTTTCCCTATAGGTGTTACACATTTGCTGAAATGCCTTGGTATCAAAGAAGGATTGCCAAAGTGCTGTTTGCAACTCCGCCTAGCTCCACCTACGAGGAGGTAGTGTGAGGTCCCTTGTCGGTTAGTGCTGCCCTCTTAGCCGCTGGGCCGCTTCGCGTGTCCGCTCATCCGGAGCTCTGAGCAGTGAGGGCCGCCGGCGCGTTCCGACGGCCGGTGCAGCCCTTACCACAGAGGCTAGTGCTTGTGACCCGTGATGGTGAGTGTGTGTCCCCCCTTTAGCTGAATGGCTGAGCATTCTGGTATATTGCAGCTAAAGAGCCCCGTGGCCAAAAGCTGCCTTCATTTTCTGTTTGAAATCTGTACCATATGAAAATTATAAAATAGAGTAGGAAATACGCAGTTGCTTCCCAGTATATTCTAGGGACACATTCTAGGCTTCCCTAGTGGCCTGGCCGGCAAAGATTCTGTAAGATAACAGCCGTCTGTCTGGGAATTAAAGCATGTTTATATTGATAGATAGTACGTACAACATTTTTTAAAAGCAGGCTTGAAAGGCTTATAGTCTCATTTCTAAGGTCTTTTGCTTTTCCTGTTAAAAATAAAACCTGAAAGGGATTTCAGGGCACATATTTTGGGTTTACTTATCACAAAATTTTTAGAGTAAGGAAGGAGACGGTTAAAAAAAGATTTCCCAATACTTGAATCATGAGCTTGTATCACAGTGTGTTCTGGGAAGCTATAGTGTAGAATTTGATGTCAAGAATATTTAGTTGTATAATCAGAACAGAGTTGTGAAATATTTGTTTTTATTAAAAAGAATGCTTTCTCACAAAAAAGATACAATCATCTCTAGTATGACAAATTAGTTATGGATCTAAAAGATTAAGTGTCAGTTAACGTGCTATGAAAACAGTTTAAGTGGGACAAAAAGGAATTAGCAGGGACTTTCAGGCTGACACGAACATCTTATGTAGGGATTTCAGTTACAAAGGACTCTTACTGATGCATTGGCCCAACCTGTGTATAAACACAGCTTTTGATTTTATGTAGTTTTTATTCATAAAGCCACTGTTCTGATTTAAGAAGAAAAATGTCAGAATAATCTGAGTTGTACACCTCTTTCCTTATGATTCTGGTTTCAGTCCAAGTTCTGAGTAACAGTCAAGTTATTACTAGAAATGGGCCACGAACTGTAATCTGTATTCTGATGATTTCATAGTGTTATGTTCAATTTTGCTGTATTAACTCCCACTGTTGATGAATTGACTGTTACTGTTTTTTAAGGGGATCATTCTTTTAGGATGGTTTGATTTACTTCCTATCTTATATTTAATGTAGGAATAGATCTTTAATGTAGGAGTAGATCTAATGTAAGAATAGATCTTATATTTAATGTAGGAATAGATCTTATATTTAATGTAGGAAAATGCTTTTTAATAATGACTCTGTTTTAATCCTTTTCAATGTATCTGGGCTTTTGTGTTTTTGACAGGCCCTAGGCTACTTTCACAGGGCAGAGCAAGGTAACGTTTTTTATTTCCTATAACTGTAAGAATGTCTGACATGTAATAGCAATTTTTTAAACAAATTATTTGTTTTGATATACTTCATAAACTTCTTTTTGAGCTGCTGCTAAGTCGCTTCAGTCGTGTCCGACTCTGTGCGACCCCATAGACGGCAGCCCACCAGGCTCCCCCGTCCCTGGGGTTCTCCAGGCAAGAACACTGGAGTGTGTTGCCATTTCCTTCTCCAATGCATGAAAGTGAAAAGTGAAAGTGAAGTCGCTCAGTCATGTCTGATTCTTAGCAACCAGACACTCCCAAATAATCTTTTAAATTATTTGTTTGTTTATGGATGTGCGGGGTCTTTGTTGCTTCGTTGTGACCCCCCACTGGTCACAGCGAGTGGGGGCAGCTCTGCTGTGCCTGGGCCTCACTGTGGCGGCTCCTCGTGTGGCGCCTGGGCCGAGAGGTCTCACGGCTTGTGGAGTCTTCCTGGACCAGGGGTAGAACCCGTATCCCCTGCATTTCCACCCACTGTACCACGAGGGAAGTCCTCAAGTAATTTTCAAAAGTCCTTATTTAGTAAAGATCACCTGAGAAATAGACTTACTACTGAATTTAGAGCTACAGTTCTAATGATCCTTCATTTGATGTAATTCAGCCTTCCTTTTTGGGAGGAGGCGTTGACAGATTAACTCTTTATTTAAGATCACACAGCTAATCAGAAGCATGTATTTATCTTCATTTAAAATTTTTATTGTTTAAAAGCGAAGTATAATTGGCATGTAACACTATTAGCTTCATGTGTACAACATGCCTTGATATCATACACGTCATGAAACGATCACAAAAGCAAGTCTAATCAACACCTGTCAGCCTTACATAGTTATAAAAAAGTACTTTTTAAAGATCAACTGTCTTAGCAAATTTCAGATGGCATTTAAATGAGAACTCTCCGATGTAAACCAGGTCAGTCTTTGTTCCGTTGCAGAGTCTTTGTGATAAGAGTTTTCTGTTACTCTTACTTTGAAGAAAGAGCCAGCCTAGAAAACATCAGCCTACGTTTATCCTTTCTAACGGCAGAAATTAGAGATGTCAGAGACAGAAGCCTAATGTCCAAATACAACCCCCCAGCCGCCCAAAAAAAACCATTGCCAATATATTTCTATAAAACTTAATCAGAAGAAGATTAAAACAATTTACTAAATTTGAGAGCCTAGTCATACAGACTTGTTCAGATGCTTTCTTAATAGCAAAGCATTTTTGAAACATGTTTCTTCTAAAGAATTTTGTCTGAATGTTAACTCTCTGTAATGTGTTAATTCTGATTTACTATTAACGACCTTCTGTTGATGTCCTCTCATGATGGTAGTGTTAGGTATCATGGGCATGATGTGGGAATGCAGTTTTCTCAAAGAAACTTAGAAGTATAATCACAAAGTTAAAAAAGCACCTAGGAGACTTAAGCACTTGGGTTGCTGAGAAGAACACAGTCATACTTTTGTGGAGCTAAAATGGCCCTTGGTAATTCGTCACCTCCAGGCCTCACTGTATGGTCACCTCCTCTTGGAGCCTTTCCTCATGGCTGATGTTCGGTTTAGAAGCTCCTCCTATGCTTTTAGTACCCTTTATTTCCCCCTTCATGGCCCTTAGCCCACAGTGTGACTGTTTCCCTGTCTGAAATGAAATTCAGGGAAGACGGGACTGTATTCCTGCTCTGCACCCTCGCCGCGTAGCACAGAACGCTGGGCAGACTTGCCGAAGGACGGCGTAAGCGGGGGCGGAATGAGTGAGTCTGCCTAACTCTGGGGAAGCCTTACGCACATCAGCATGGCATCTTACAAACATCTTCAGATTAAAGAAGTAAAATAGGTTTGGGTTAAGAGACAAATGTAGTTAATCATAAATCATATCCAGGAAAAATTATAAATATAGAACGGTCCTTAAATACAGATAGGAGAAAACTCTATAGAATTAATGAAGACAGTCCTATGCTTTCATTCATAGGCTTTTTGTTTACATTTTTGCTTCAGCCAAACATATTCTCCACTTTCCTGTTTAGATTCTATTCAGCCTCCAAGTCAGCCCAAGTGTAACCTCTTAGCTGCTTTTTTTGGTTTCCCATAGAACTTTAAAATTGGTACTCCTGTCAAAGCAGTCCTTTTATTCTTATGTTACATTCAGGTGTGCTCATGCTGGTCTCTGCTTTCATTATAAATTCCAAAAGAGCAGAGACCTCATCTGTGCTCAGACATAGCCCACGGGCTTCCGTGGCGGCTCAGCAGTAAAGATCTGCCTGGAATGCAGGACCCGGGTTTGATCCCTGGGTCAGGAGGATCCCCTGAAGAAGGAAATGGCAGCCCACTCCAGTCTTCTTGCCTGGAGAACCCATGGACAGAGGAGCCTGGCGGGCTACAGTTCATGGGGTCACAGAGTCAGACACGACTCGGCAACTAAAGCACCACCAAACATGGCCCACGCTCAGTAAAGGCTGATCACACACACACACACACACACACACACACTGATATTATCATGACTTTCATTTACTCAGGCACTAAACCACCACCAAACATGGCCCACGCTCAGTAAAGGCTGATTACACACACACACACTGATATCATCATGACTTTCATTTACTCAGGCACTAAACCACCACCAAACATGGCCCACGCTCAGTAAAGGCTGATTACACACACACACACACACACACACACACACACACACACTGATATCATCATGACTTTCATTTACTCAGGCACTAAACCACCACCAAACATGGCCCACGCTCAGTAAAGGCTGATTACACACACACACACACACACACACACACACACACACTGATATCATCATGACTTTCATTTACTCAGGCACTAAACCACCACCAAACATGGCCCACGCTCAGTAAAGGCTGATTACACACACACACACACACACACACACACACACACTGATATCATCATGACTTTCATTTACTCAGGCACTAAACCACCACCAAACATGGCCCACGCTCAGTAAAGGCTGATTACACACACACACACACACACACACACACACACACACTCACACTGATATCATCATGACTTTCATTTACTCAGGCACTAAACCACCACCAAACATGGCCCACGCTCAGTAAAGGCTGATTACACACACACACACACTGATATCATCATGACTTTCATTTACTCAGGCACTAAACCACCACCAAACATGGCCCACGCTCAGTAAAGGCTGATTACACACACACACACACACACACACACACACACTGATATCATCATGACTTTCATTTACTCAGGCACTAAACCACCACCAAACATGGCCCACGCTCAGTAAAGGCTGATCACACACACACACACACACACACACACACACACACTCACACTGATATCATCATGACTTTCATTTACTCAGGCACTAAACCACCACCAAACATGGCCCACGCTCAGTAAAGGCTGATCACACACACACTGATATACTGATATCATCATGACTTCATTTACTCAGGCAGCAAGGACATACTGAGTCAGTTCGAGGCGCTGTTCTAGGCACGTAGGATCCAGGGAACAAAAGAGGTGGGCGTATTGTCTATTAGGACCCCCTCAGGTTTTCATCTGTTCAATGGAGTACCGATTTTATAAAATTTCTGTGAAAATAAGAAATGTGTGTAATATAAATGGCTAGCACAAAGTAGACACTCAAAAAATAGTAATTCTCTCAAATTTTTTTGATAGGAATAGTTGAGCAAAGGAGACCGTCATTAGCCTAGCGTATTACAGTAAGTCCTCACACACAGACTTTGAAGTTGGGAGCTTTCAGACAGGGAGGTTGGGTCACGTGTCTGCTGTACACGGCCACATGCGCGTCCCCAGAAGTGTGTGCTTCCATGTGCCGGGCAGCGCCGTGTAGGTGTGGTGGTGCGGGATCTTTATTTCAAGCCCCGGAGATCCGGAAGCAGCAGGGCCGTAGCTGCCATCTCCTGTCGCTGACGAGCCTTCAGCTCTGCCGTCTCCCCTCATCCTCCTCCTCCAGAAAGTAACTGACTTCCTGTCTGTCCGCTCAGTGCCAGCCCCTGGATGCCAGCTGCCTGTAGTGCACTTGTAGGATTAAACTGTTTTCTCTTATGTATTGTTTGTGTGAAAAGTATTCCAGTTCAATACTACATAGTCCATTGTGTTAGCTGGCTACCTAGGCTAACTCTGTTGGACTTAGGAACCAACCGGACTTACGAATGTGTGCGCTCTCAGAGTGGCTCTTGGGGTTACTGTATTGGCATCTAGAAAATTTTAGAAATTGGCATTTTAGAAAATTTTAAGCCTTTCAAAATAAGAGCAATACTATTTGATCGGAGATAAAATGTGAATTCTTTTTCTTTCTTATGTACAGTGGATCCAAACTTCTACAGCAAAAACTTGCTCCTTCTAGGAAAGACGTATTTGAAGCTGCACAACAGAAAGCTCGCTGCTTTCTGGCTGACAAAAGCCAAGGACCACCCAGCGCACACAGAGGAGGATAAACAGGTACAGTGTCTCCAGTGACCGAGGCAGGCAGGCTTCCACTGAGGCTCGTGAAGGAAAGGGGACTCAAGAACTGCTTCAAAAGTGTCATTGTCCCAATGCATATTATAAAATAATACTGCTGGTTTCAAATGTATACAGCAAATGTTTTTGGAGAAGGAAATGGCAGTCCACTGCAGTCTTCTCGCCTGAAAAATCCCATGGACAGAGGAGCCTGGCGGGCTACAGTCCATGGGGTCGCAAAGCGTTGGACATGACTGAACACACGCAGAGCAAATACTTAGTTACTGTCAACAAACATGTATGAATTACTCAGTACAGTATAGAATCATTCCTGTTTGACATATCTATATATAACAGATCAGATAAGATTTCTAAAACATAAAAGGCAGGGGTGTGTGCTAATGTGAGAGTTCTCTAAGGGTCTCGCTTCTGAGTTCCCGAAGAAGTTTTACTTCGTGTACTAGCCTGGTTTTCTGAAACTCTCAGACACTACTTTATGAACTTGTTTCACGAGTCAGTCTCTGTGCTGTACTGTTTATAATGTGCGTTCTTCCATCTTAGGTACAGACGGAAGCTGCTCAGTTACTCACAGGCTTCAGTGACAAGAACTGAGATTTTTCAATGAAGTAGCTGAGAAGCATTGCCTTTTCGTCAGATTTTAAAGATAATAAATACATTAAGTATAACTGTTCTCTGGCTGTTCTTTTAATGTTGTGACCATTTAACAAAGTAACAAAATTCTAGATTTCTTTACAAATAACAAGGCAAAAGAAATGATTCCACAAGAGTGGCAGAGACGTCTCCATGGCTTAGAGGCAGAGATGACTGTGCGCCCGAGATACCAGCGATACAGCAGGGCGTGAGATTTCTAGGGCAGACCGCACCACATCAGGATGGGGATAAAGGAAGGAAAGCTACAGTGTGGATGCGCTGGCTGCCGAGGGGTGCATTTTCAAGTTGACTGATTCAAAGCTGAGCCGTTGCAGAGAAGCAACAGTGAGCGAGGAGCTCGGCACGATGGGGGTCCTTGGTATAATGCAGTTAATTGATGTGTCTTGGAGCCAGCCTGCATAAGGAAAGAGCTCCGTCAGGAGGGCTGAAAATGGAGTGGTTTCTTCTTTAAAACGTGAGGTAGTCTTAAAAGTCGATTGATTTTGTCACTAGGCGAGCCCAGTCTATTCCCTAGTGGGTGAAAGGAACGCGGAACTCAAGGAGAAACGGAGGCGAGGGTGTTTAAAAAGGAGGGATCCCTGGGGTGCCCCCAGTGCAGATCCGAAGTGCTGTGAGCAGCAGTGTCTTGAATGTCACTTAGAGACATCTGAGTGTATGTCTAGGTGGAGTGTGCTCAAAGGGAAAACATACAATGTGGGTATGTACTCTTCGTGGTTATCATGTGTACTTTCAAACAGAAGCAAAAACTCAAAGTACTGGACTATTTATACCCATCTCTGATTCAACAGTTGCTAATCTTTTGCTATGTTTTACTTATGTATGTATATAGTCATGTATTTATGTGCATCTGTAAACTTTTGAAATAGTAGACAACATATTTCATCCCTAAATATTTCAGCATTGTCTCAGAGTAAAGACATCCTTCTAAACAAACACAAATTCATATTACAACTAGAAAGTTAACAGCAATTCTTTAATATCCAGCCATATTCAAATATCCTTAAATGTCCCAAAATGTCTTATATACTTCTAGAAACCAAGATTCAAAGATCATACATTGAATTTAATTTTCCACCTGAGTTTTAAAATCTAGAAGAGTAACACATCTTTCTCTCACAGCACTGACTTTTTAAAAAGGCCAGTGCAGTTGTCTTCCAAACTGTCCCTCCTTCCAGAATGGCCGTATTGACCCACCTTTAGAGAAACTGTTCCATCTTATATTAGATCTTCTTTGACGTTTGTATTTATCACTTTCTCTGATAGATACTGCTTGTCTTCGCTTTTGAGATGTTTCTTTTTCTCTAATTTCCCCCCCCCTGATTTAAGTTAGTAGGCATTTCACATCTTCATGTTTTTTGTTCCAGTTCTGAATTTCTAATTTGGATTTTTTTCATGTCTGCAATTATTATTTAGATTTAATTCATACTAGTATACTGTGTTTAAGGATTTTACTGTTTTTTTTTTTTTGTTTAGCATTTTCATCTGAAATTTCGTTTTCAGTTTTCTCTTTAGAGTGACTCTGAATGTCATTTTTTGGAGGTATGACTTGTGTGTGTGTTTAATAATGGGAGGTAAGGGTTTGGATTAGTTCAGTAACACCCTCAGTAATTTACAAAATGAAATCGTTTTGTAAAATAAGGTTTCTTTTAGTCATAAAGCCTTTTATGGAGGGGAGGATCGGTCTTTGATATTATATAGAGCTGTTTAAAATTTTTTTCCCTTGAAATAAGATTTGTAAGAAGTTGCCAAACAGTACTCTCACAAAGGCGCTGCGGTGCTGCCCTCAGTTCTCGATGGTAACAGGTAACTGCAGGACAGTATCACAGCCAGGAGGCTGTGCAATCCACAGACAGCATTCAGACTTTACCACTTTTAAGTGATCTCGCGTGTGTGATCTGTGCAGTGTGACATGGGTGGATTTCTGTAACTGCCACAATGAAGATACAGAACTGTTCCATCACAGAGACTTGGTGCTGTCCCTTACGTCACACACATTCCCTGCCACCACCCCTAATCCTGACAACTGCTGATACTTCCCTGTAGTTCTCTATAATTCTGTCATTTCAAAAACATCATACAGAATGTGATGCTTTGAAATTGGCTTTTTTCAATCGGCAGAACTCATTTGAGATCCATCTACCTTTAGCCAGCAGTTCCTTTTTATTGTTGATTATAGTTCATTGTGTGGTGCACCAGCTTATTTAAACTATCCACCTTGGGGCATTTGGGTGGTTCCCAAACTCTGGCTGCTGTCAACATAAGGTATGACTTATATCAGTTATGTCAACATACTTTTCCTCTCTGGGACAAACGTCCAGGAGTGTGGTTGCTGGGTCCTTTATAGAGCTGCTGTTTCTCTTCCCTCTCTACAAAGGAATAAAACTTCCTTCTCCAAAGAGTGGTTCCTCCCTGCGATTCTGTGTGACTGTGTGCGTTTTCAGCCTCTCTTGACTGCCCCGGAGTCTGACCTCCCGGTCTCACGCTGCTCCCGGCGTTTCTCCACTCTGGCTGAGAACTGCTGCTTCCGGGAGGGAGCCCTGGGGCCCCGTTATGTCCCTGCCCCTGCAGCGCCCACTTGATGCAGCGCTTGTGTTCCAGAGCTGACTGCTAGTCTGAGGCCTGTTTCCCCACATCCGTGTCAACAGAAGTTTGTAGTGTTCTGTCTTCTAAACACACCACAGATACGGGCTCCGGGAGACCACAGCCGCCTCTCCTGAACCCATCACCTTGGAAGAATGAGAGCAGACACCGGACTGGAAAGCGGCTGTTCTCTTGTTGCCAGAAATTCTCCTGAGTGGGCTAGCTGTAGATTGTGTAAGAATGATTTTTCTCAGACTCTTTAAAATAATTACAAGGAAAAAACAAAAAAGCCCCTAAGAACCTAATGGAATTTTGAGGATTAAAGAACATGTATTTACCAGGAGTATCAGTAAATATTTAAAAATGCTGTTAACATCTGATTGTCCTTGGTCAAAGACTGGGGAGAGAAAATTTGAAATTTAGGAGATGCCACTTGTGTTCCAACTATATATAGTGTATGTGCTGTGGAAGTGAGGGTAGAAGGTGCCACTTTTGGACTATTCCTCTTTGTTACTGGTTTGGGTTCCCCTGCCTTTTCATTTTTTTGTTACCTACTTCAACCAGAGAACATTTCTGTTTGATGTTGTAACGCCGACGAGAGTCTTTTGAGGTTTAACCAAATATTTAGACTCAAAAAGCCCATGACAGGCTTCATCTGGCACCAGTTCACTCGGGTCCGTGTCAGGCTTCCCGACATTCGGATGACCTTACGGCAGCGTCAGGAGCAGTGCGTCCAGGCAGCTCCAGAACGACCATCGCCCCGGTCACAGCTCGGGAATCCCAAAGGGACAGGCCGTCAGAGTTTCCCCATCCTGGGAGGTCCGCAGCTGTGGCTTCCTGTCAAGTCTCTGGAGTCTTCCCAGTCCAGACGCAACATACCATCTAGGGGTCCTTTTATGAACAGAAAAGGTATTCCCTGAAGCACGGTTGGCACACCAACCCACCTGGTTTTGAAAGCTGGAGAACCTGGGTGTCTGACCTGAGGCGGGAGGGCGGACGTTTTGTTTAACTCTCTTGGCGTGAAGGGCGCTGAGCCTGCCTCTGCGTGCGTGTATCAAGACAAGCAGGGATATCCTGCCTTCAGGCCTGGATCTCTAGGAATAACACGACAGAAGAGCCTGACGCGCTCTCCAGGACGCTGGTTTCCGCTCTGAGGCCGCCTGTGGTTCAGTAAGTTCTTACCTGGAGTGGGGGCAGGCGTGGGCACCCTGAGAAGGTCAGACGCCACACAGCTGTCTGCGCACGCTGGGCGACAGCCGCTGCCATCTCAGCGAAACGCCTCAGTGGTGCCGCCCTCACGGTCTGAGTCAAGTGGCCCTTTTGAAGACTGGGCACCCTCTCACGCACAATCTGTCCTACACACTCGTTCTCTTTTCATTCTTTAGGCATGAGAATAATTAGAAAGTCAGGAATCAGGATTTGGGAAAAGTATTCAACCAAGTGGATCACTGACTTTTATTTCATCTTTACTATGAATTCTGAATAAAAATGCAGAACATGATCTAAATATGTAGAAAAATAAAGTTTTGGCAAAGCAAAAAGTATTGTTCAGAGAAGTTAAATTGTATCCTAGTGTCTGTATGTACTCAGTGAAATATGTTACTAGTAACATTCTAAGATGTCAGTTCCATGGTTAAAAAAATTTTTTTAAGTTTATGAAATTTATAGTGTATATTGAAATAATGATACAACTGGAAATTTAAATTGTTATATTAATAAGGAAGCCCCACTTGCTAAAGCAGCATTAATATCATTCACATCAGATTGTTATACATTTTTGTAGATAAGTAAATGTCTTTGATAATGAAAAACAAAGTATTTACCTAGGACAAAAATAATAATTTATATAAAAAGGGGGGAAGACCAAAATATTTTTTATATGCTTATTCAGATACATAGAACTTTCATGAATTTAAGAGGAATGAAGATATTCAAACTGTAATAGGAAATCATTAGACTTATTTGAATATTTAGATGCTTATGTAAGTCTTCAATCCATCTGGTTTTATAAAACCAAAATTTCAAACACAAAAGCAGAAAAGTTCACATTGCCTTTTTATATGTTCCTAAGTATCAAATTACATCAATTTATTCTGTATTTAAAGAACATCATAAATTTTAAAACTAAAGTACAGAAGTGCCTGATTCTTTTTAATCCCACAAATACCTAGCATCCCAAAGTAACATGTAAACAAACCTCTATGCTGCTCGGTGGATTCTCTCCAATTTCCAGAATAAACTAAAAGGTAGTAGATCTAGTATATGAGTTACTCATATAAGTTACAGTTTCATTAATGACTTTGTATTAGTGATGTAGCAAAGAGGGAAATTTTTCAACTACTGTATTTATTTTAAAATAAACTGACAGGTTCAAGCACCCATCTTAAGAAAAGCCAGCAGCACTTTTTTTAACATATTCAAAGTAAGATTTTGGCCTAAGCCCTTAATACCTTCCTGAACAGCCATGCAACTAAACACCCTCAAGAGACGTTCCATCAGGGAAAAAACACAGAGCAACTTGCACTTTTCCCCCTGGATAACAGAAACAAGGTAAAGCAAATCCAGACTATTTTCAAATGAATGGCTGTCACGTTCAATACACTGAGCTCTATAAAACTAGAGCCACTATCATAGATGCTTATATAGATATAAATTTATTTTTAATAAAGTCTCTTGCTTGCTTCAAAATTTAAGGATGTTTTTTTTTCCTGGTCAGTCATTTCAAGGGAACAATAAATAAAGTAGAAAAGGATGAGCTGTTTTGCGTATTTCTGTGGAAGAACGGAAAGCATCTATACTTTTGAGAGGTTCAGAAAATCCGCTGCGCAGAATGAGCAGCTCATGCGCACCCTCTGTGCAGCTCTTCTTGGCTGGGGGTTCGAACGCGAGAGCTCCTCCACGACAAGGAGCCGCTCACTCTTGTCCAAACCCCTCTGTTTCCTCTACCGCAAAAAGGAGCTTCTCCTTTAGTTGTTCGTAACTCTTGTATGGTGGTAGATCCAAGCGATTAAAACTGAACAGAAACAAAAACAAAATGTATTTTCAATAAAATAAACTCTGAAAAGACTTCTAATACATTTTTAAAATATATCTGAAAAACTAAACAGAGGAAGAATGTAAAAATTTTGTTGGAAGTATTCTAACAGACTACTATATTAATACTTATTGAACATAATATTAAATACACAAATTTTCTTATAGCAATCAACTCAATATTAAGACCTATTCATAAAAATAATGTTTCCCAGAGAAAGCTGGAATTACAAATAGTAACTGTAGCAATAATGGATAAAACCGCTGTAATTTTTTTTCTCTTTTCTACAGTACTATGTGACATTGTTTCCGGAGTCCCCCTAACTTCTTCTCTTGGGTTAAAAGAGTCCATTTATTTCACTCATTCACCTATGAATTCACTCACTCATCAGTTACTTACTGAGAATCTTTTCTTATCAGGTATTTCTCCCAGGAGCTAGTGATACAGAGATGAAAAACTAAGGCCCATGTTCTCACTGAACTTACATTCTAGGGTGGAGACTATCACCAAATATATACTTTTGTCTTTTCAAATGTCTTGTCATATGTTGGGCTTCCCTGACAGCTCAGCTGGTAAAGAATCTTCCTGCAATGCAGGAGACCTAGGTTTGATCCCTGGGTTGGGAAGATCTCCTGGAGAAGGGAAAGGCTACCCATTCCAGTGTTCTGGCCTGGAGAATTCCATGGACTGTATAGTCTATGGGGTCACAAAGAGTCGGACAGGACTGAGCCACTTTCACTTGTCATATGTAAAATTATTTCTAAAATAAAGTGCTTGCAATCTTGCCAGATTCAAAGAGAATTCCCTGCTGGGATTAACTGATGAAATACAGAAAACATGGAAAATGCTTAAATCATCAATGTATTGTTTCACAATTTACAAAGGTATAGACTAGCATTTAATTTTTTTAAGACACATCACTGAGTCGCCGGGTCAGGATTCAGGAGTGTCGGACTTCAGTCCCCACTCTATTAGCGTCTAGTGAGGCAGCCTGAGAAGTCAAAGCCGTCCTGCACTTTATCTTCTCACGTGGAAGGTTTCTAGAGGTGGCCCCGTTCCCTCCTCCTACTCCTACCAGTTACCTGCCCTGGTCAGGAGCTGGACATCAGGAAAGAGCCTTTTGAAACAAGGCGGCCGATTACAATTGTGTTCTTCTCAGACCATGTTTCTCTCTCTTGAAAAGCCGTCCACGGTAACAAGTAAGGGCGCTGTCCCCTGGGCCTGAGGCGGTCTGATGGTGGATGGAGGTCAGGGGAAGAGTCCGGCCCTGCCTGTGTCACACTGTCCTTCGTTCACCGAGCTGCCCCGCCGTCCCCCCGGCCCGTCGCTGCCACATCCACCCGTGTCTACTTCCGCCTCCTCTTTGATCTAGACCATCAGATTTCCTGCCTGCTGATCTTGTGTGCAGTTCCCTTTTTCACTCCTTCACAATCTATCTAGCCTTGGATCAGTTGCAGGGTCCTTTATTAGAAAGACATGCACGTGTAAAACCCCCTTGCTGCTGCTAACTCCTGTGGGGGGGGGGGGCGGGGGAGGGAAGCCTGGGCCGTCTGTTGGCGGGCCACCGCTCGTTCCGTCTTCTCCAGGCAGACCACACGCCCGGCTGCTCTATGGCCATGCTCTTATTTACAGCTCTCCCATGTTCCGAAATACCCCCTCGTCTATGAAAATATTATTAAGAATCAGTCCAAATGCTACAAAACTTCCTCCAAGAATTCTCTGAACATGTTATATAGACTTCATAATTCCCCTCTCCATAAGGTCTTTTTATTTCTATTTAAGATTTACTCTGTATTATGACTGACTGGTTTCTTCCAATAGATTCACAAGGGCAGAGTCCCCTCTATCCTCCTGACAGATCCATTTTGCGTACAGGGAGACATTTATGTTGAGTTGAACCATGTGAGAAAATGGGTATCTTTAAAACATTCAAAAACATGGCTCTAAGACATGAGCTATCATGCTCTGTGCTGGTTTACCAAAGGACAAAAACATTCTAAAAATACTTATCTTTTGCTGAGCACACATTATGTGAATGTCAGAATACCGTTTTAGTTTGGCTTTTTAGTTGCACTTTGAGGAACGTTTGCTACTTCTATCTTCCTATATGTAAAAAGGGAGGGGAGAAGTACCCCCACGAGCTTGCTTCACACGTACGTCGCCTGCTGTCCTGTATCCTGAGAGCTGCCACCTCTCCAAGCAAAGCTCTGGCACCGCAGCAGGGGGACCCCACCTGAGGGCCATCGGGACCGCTTCCCCACAGACTGCAGGTACAGCGCCATGCCCCTCAGTCACTGCCGGAGATCTTTTCACCTAAGTCCTCACCTCAGTCCTGACCTACCCTACTTCCCCTGATCTGAACAGTATCTCCACCTGTGCCCTCCATCTCACAGCATTCCAGTCCATTCTTCTGAACTTCTATTACATGATGTGCAGGCTTCTACAGTCTTAACGGGCTTTCCCGGTGGCTCAGATGGTAAAGAATCTGCCTGCAAATGCAGGAGAGCTGGGTTTGATCCCTGGGTCGGGAAGACCCCCTGGAGACAGTCGTAACAACTCCTCTCTTGCCTTCACTGAAACTTAGCTAGTCTGAAACAGTCCATTTCTTTCACAGCCAGCCAACGCTTTCCTCCTTTGAGGCAAATGATCTGGCTACGAAGCCTTCCTTTTGCACTCTCGCTATCCCCTCCTTCCTGATACGCTCCTTCACTCACTGACACCTCTGCCACTCAGGCGACATGCAACGCTACGGCCCCCCAGGTCTTGGCCCTTCTTCAGGGGTCTGTTCCTCTACTTCAGTATCATACCTTGAACTTGGTCAGCAGCAGCAAAGGGAATTATAACTAAAACACTCTATTCTCTGATTATCTGTTTTCCCCAACTTAATTCAATCAAAATGCCAACCTATTAACCCAATGTGTTCTCACCACCCTACCTCGTCCACAGACTCTTCCGATCTTCACTTCTTAAGCCACAGCCCATCATTGTAAGTATTAGGTTGGTGCAAAGGTTAACTGTGGTTTTGGCACTGTTGAAACTGCCATTTGATACTGGGATACATTCTCGATAAATGTGGTTATGTTATACATCACTTTAACACACATTTCTCACTTTGTTTTTTTGCTAATGATTACTTGCTATTTATTTTATATTTACTTTAGACTATGGAAAGGATGTCAGACGAAAAGCAAATTCGAGTGATTGTCTTATTTGATTTCAAAATGAGTCATAAAGCAGTGGAGACAACTTGCAATATCAACAATGCATCTGGCCCAGGAACTGCTAATGCACGTACAGTGCAGTGGTGTTTCAAGAAGTTATGCAGAGGAGACGAGAGCCTTGAAGATGAGGACCGTAGTGACTGGTCATCAGAAGTTACAATGACCAACTGAGAAGATCATCGAGGCTGATCCTCTTACCACTGCAGAAGTGGCTGAAGAACTCAGTGTTGACCAGTCCACAGTCATTCCGCATTTGAAGCAATGTGGAAAGGTGTAAAGACTTAAGAAGTGGATGCCTAATGAGCTGACTGAAAATCAAAAAAACTGTTGTTCTGAAATGCCATCTTCTCTTATTCTAGGCAACAACACACCATTTCTCGCCTGGATTATGACGTGTGATGAAAAGCAGATTTATATGACAACCGCCAACAACCAGCTCAGTGGCTGGTCTGAGAAGAAGCTCCAAAGCACTTCTTAAAGCCACACTTGCACCAAAAAAAGTCTTGGTCAAATACAAAAAAAGGGGAAGAAAAAAGGTCATGGTCACTGTTTGGTGGTCTGCTGCCTGTCTGATCCATTACAACTTTCTGAATCGCGGTGAAACCATCCATTACATCTGAGCTCAGCAAATCCATGAGATGCACCGAAAACTGCAACGTCTGCAGGCAGCATTGGCCAACTGAAAGGGCCCCATTCTTCACAACACCTGATCACCCCCTGCACAACCAACGCTTCAAAAGCTGAACTAATTGAGCTACGAAGTTTTGCCTCATCCACCATACTCACCTGACCTCTCACCAACGGACTACCACTTCTTCAAGCATCTCGACCACATTCTGCAGGGAAAATGCTTCCACAACCAGCAGGAGGCAGAAAGTGCTTTCCTCAAGAGTTCATCCAGTCCCGAAGTATGGATTTTTATGTTACAGGAATAGACAAAACTTATTTCTCACTGGCAAAAATGTGTTGACTGTAATGGTTCCTATTTTAATTAATGAAGATGTGTTTGAGCCTAGTTACAATGATTTAAAATTCATGGTCTAAAACTGCAATTACTTTTGCACCAGCCTAATACTTTATAAAGGTCATGGTCCATCCTTACAATCAATACCTTGCAAATATTTTAAATCTTATCTCTCCTTTTTGAACTTACTCAAACTCTGAATGAATTCAGCCTTCTACTTTCTCATTCCTTGTACCTTATCAGTTGAAAATTACTGCAGGGGAAATCTGATGACTTCACATGAACTACTAGATCCAAGTGGGCAATTCAACACTGCCCAGCATTCTTAGCCATGTTTCTGTAGAAACACTTGTCTAGTCCCTGACAACTCTCCCTTTCTTTCTTCTTCCAAGTCTTTCCCTTCTTTATTGTCAGCCAGTGACTTTACCTTATAAATACTTGGAGGAAAGAAATCAACAGTTGATCAACTCTTTTCCTTCACAAAATCTGAAATCTATCTATATACCCAACTTTTCTTCCTCTTCTGTTACAACAAAGGAAATGTTCTTGTTTTCATCAAAAGTGAATTCCTTAACTCACACTCATAATCCCAGTTCTTTCCATCTTCCTTAAAGAATTATCTCCTTTGGTTATGAACTCTCTGTCCCCTGACTCAACAATCTCTCCTCCATTGGACTCACCAATTTAATCTAACCTGGTGTTCTTAAAAGTTTTTGGTGAACAGATCCCTTGTTCACATCTAAAAATATCAAGAAATCCAAAGAGCTTTTTGTTTATGTGAGTTATAGCTATTGATATTTACCATAAGTTAAATTTTAAAAATAATTTACTTTGAAAATGAAAGTAAACTTATTTTTATGAAAAAAAAATAACTGTTTTCAAAAAAGTAGTGAAAAGAGTGACCCCGTTTCATATTTTTGCAAATCATTTTAATGTCTGATTTAAAAAAAGACATCTGGATTCTAATACGTATGTGTTTATACTATCAAACTGTGTTGTTTTGGATTAAGTATATGAAAACTGTCCCCATACAGATATGCAGTTAGAAAACAGAGATGTACTCAAGTAATTATTTTTCCAGATTAATTGTGGATATTATTCTTTGATAATATACTAAAGTTTGACAAGATTATACATAATATGGGTTTTGAAATCATATCGAAGAATACTCTATTCTGTTATATGAAATCCACTGGTTTATTTTGCACTTTGAATGTTTTTCCCATGCGTGAGTTTATAACATCATATATCAGTTATTTGGAAATATAGGTTCACCAAGTTATAATGAATTTTCAAATACTAAAAGTCTTGGGAAGCTGTGAAGCTGAATATACAATTTTCCAAAATTCTGATTTTTCTATGAAACCTCAATTTTATCATCACCAACAAATGCTGTTAGTTGTTTTCCTTAAAGTGATGAGCTTTTACTTAATTTTCAAGAAAAAATTCTGAATGAAATCATCTGTTATATTTTCAAGTAAAAAGAGCATTGCACACACAAAAAAGCAACCTCTTCAGCTTTCAGCTCAACAACTGCCTAAAAGCTTCTTCTCAAGACAAAAACCAGTGTTTTATGTAGACTTGCCATTTATTTTGTCATACAGAATATTAAAAAAAAACTATACACATACTTCAAGTGTCAAGATTTAATAAAGTTAATAGTTTTTACCACTTCATAATCAACAACTATCAATACGCCTGGCCTTTTCTTTACTTTTTTTTTTTTTAAACTTCAAATGTGGTGAAGTTGAAACTTCAAATGTGCGGTGTTGAAAAATGCAGAGACAGCAGTTCGATGTCACTGCCTTGACCCGTGCTAAGTCAACAGCTGTTGACCCACCATTACTTTGGTACCACAAGTGCAAATGTCAAAACAATAAAAAGGCAAAAAAGGACAGTGTGAAAACTGGCTGTGACCTCCTGAAAGCAGCACATAGCTTCAGGCCAGCACCATCTTCTGGATGACTAACAGCTCTGACCTCCCTGCACTCACCCAATTCCCGCCATGCCCCTGCTGCCAGAGAAATTTTCCTTAGATCGCATTACTCCTATTTAAGGCTCCTCGATGGCTTCTCCTTGTCTTTAGAATCTAATTGCTTGTCACAGCCTATTAACCCAGCCCACTCCAGTGCTCTGGCCCGGGAAATCCCATGGACGGAGGAGCCTGGTGGGCTGCAGTCCACGGGGTCGCAAAGAGTCGGACACGACCGAGCGACTTCACTTTCACTTTTCAGCTTCACGCATTGGAGAAGGAAATGGCACCCCACTCCAGTCCTCTTGCCTGGGAAATCCCATGGACGGAGGAGCCTGGTGGGCTGCAGTCCATGGGGTCCCTAAGAGTCGGACACGACTGAGCGACTTCACTTTCACTTTTCAGTTTCACGCATTGGAGAAGGAAATGGCACCCCACTCCAGTGTTCTTGCCTGGAAAATCCCATGGACGGAGGAGCCTGGTGGGCTGCAGTCCACGGGGTCGCAAAGAGTCGGACACGACTGAGCGACTTCACTTTCACTTTTCAGTTTCACGCATTGGAGAAGGAAATGGCACCCCACTCCAGTGTTCTTGCCCGAAGAATCCCAGGGATGGGGGAGCCTGGTGGACTGCTGTCTATGGGGTCGCACAGAGTCGGACATGACTGAAGTGACTTAGCAGCAATGTACCCCGGCCCCCATTTCCAAATTCTTTTATCCTCCTCCTCTGAATCATTAAGTTCCATTCATACCAAGTCATCTTTTATTTCTGTAAAAAATACCTATACAAAGTATACACTCCCCATTTCTTCCCACAGCATGCTATTCATCAAACTCAACTTAAACATCACTGTTTCTAAGAAACTTCCCTGACCATCCAATCTGGTGGGGATTCCTCTCCAGCTGTTCTCCTGGTTCCCTTTAAAGGACTCCCAGCATTCGTAAAGAGGTGTTCACCTGTTTGTCTTCTGTGTCCCCACCCCCAATGGAGCACAAACTTCATAAAAGGCAGGGAGCACTTCAATCTTATTTTATACCTAGTGGGCACTCTAAATATTTGTTGAATCAATGGATACATTTCTTGAGTATTTATATTAACCAGTCACTCTAAAGTGTTTAGTTATAGAGTGCTATATTAATCAGTAAAAACTGAAATTCTGACTACTTTAATGAATCAACAATTATACTCAGTCACTGTCCTATTTAAGATTTTTGAACTTACCATGTGTGGCTTCTTGGTAACCAAGTGTCTTTGCCAACTTTTTCAATGCAAAATTTTTGAGGCCCATTACTTCCTAAATCAGGAAAATATGACAATATTTATTTGGTCCTTTAAACTTTTTAGTTTTGACAACTAGTCAAACCAGAACATGTCACAGAATCACCATGAGTTATACAGATTAAACTATACTGTAAGTGGCTTCTGCCCAGAGAAGCTTCTTAATGCTGCAGAGATCCAGCAATGGGAATCACAAAGTGGAAAGATCAGTGTCTACAGAATCGCGCTCCCTTCACAAAGCAATGGCCAACCAGCCTCTGAGAGCAGACTTGCATACCTATCTTACAAATGTACTTGATATTAACCATTAATTTGTCTTTCTTTCAGTAGATGCCCTACATAAAGCACAGAAGAATAATCCTTATGCTTAAGTCTGCTGTGTGTCTAAACGCATTTATCACAGAATTATTTACGGAGAAAACTGCACTTACCCATGAGCTCAGCAAATCCTCCTAGAGGTAAACGGCAGGTTCCAGTGACAAACTGCAGGAGTCGCATTCTCACTTCATTGTCTGTCTCCTTCACAAACTGCATAACAAAATCAAGTTTACTTTACGACATGGTGGAAATTATTTGTAGCAAGAAATCCACATGTATAATTCTATTTCTAATTTCAAGTTAACTTACAACTCTTGTATTGATTTCGAAGCCCAATTTCCTATTTTTAGGAGGAAAATGAAAACAGGGGATGCGCCATATGTTTTGTGCATATTCGGCCCTAACGACGATACTATGAGACAGGTACTATCATTAGCATCCCACTATACATGTAAGAAGATGGAGGCCAGGCTTCCCTGGTGGCTCAGTGGTAAAGAACCCGCCTGCCAGTGCAGGAGACACGGGTTCGATCCCTGATCTGGAAGATTCCACGTGCCGTGCAGCAACTAAGCCCGTGGGCCACAGATACTGAGCCTGTGCTCTAGATACCAGGAGCCACAACCTCTGACCCCACAGGCCACGCCTACAGAAGCCCTCGCGCCCTAGAGCCCCTGCTCCGAAACAGAGGAGACATGGCGATGGGAGGCCTGCACACCACAGCTGGAGGGGAGCCCCTGCTCGCCGCAAGTCGAGAAAAGCCCGTGTGCAGCAAGAGACCCAGCACAGTCAAACATAGACAAGTAATCAGAAAAAAAGAAAATGGAGGCCTGGAGAGGTGAAAGAATTTGTCCTTCTCGACCTGCTACTAAGTGGCGGAACTAACATCTGAACTCAAGTCTGACTGAGCTCTAAAGCTCTGTTATCCTGACCTGAGCTGACTACCCTGCAAGCTACTGACAGTGAACAAATCCTTCTCAACAGCCACTCAGCAATTTGTGATATTGTCTTTCACTAAACACCACTTTCCCAACTGTGTTCTTCATACTTGAAAACCCACAGTATGCATTCTTCTAAATATGTATCTCTTCATGGACTATTTCTTTTCAAAGTGGACATAGACAGGTAATGTGAAATACTGATCTGAATTGCTCTGAGTGTCTTATAACAGAAGGCAAGGAACTCAGAGCACAGTGTGAAAGTAAAAATGTATCTTAAAAACAAAGAGACTAAACTTTAGGAACAATAAGACAAAACATTGTGCTAAATAGGAAAACTGTTTCTGCACAGAACTGTGCTGAGGCAACACGTTTCATTAAGACATAAAAATGGAGGTGAGCAGAGCTGGCATAAACCTCACCACTTTCCCCAGAACAAACCCCATGTGAGTGAGCGAGTGAGTGAAGTTGCTCAGTCGTGTCTGACTCTTTGCGACCCCATGGGCCATAGCCCACCAAGCTCCTCTGTGCTTGGGATTTTCCAGGCAAGAATACAGGAGTGGGTTGCCATTTCCTTCTCCAAGGAAATCCCATTTAGAAAACACAACTGTTCATCTGGATTTACATGACCCAGTGCTTAAGCTCCTCGGGTATATAGATAGAAATGCCCAAAGGGAGTGTCCGGGAACAAAAGGAACAAGGAAGCTAGTAAAGAGTCAAAAGGGAGGAGACAGACACTTGCACACTCTCTGTATGCGATGCAGTTCTGATGTCTTAGGTTTGCAAACGGAGTTATTCCTACTTTTCATTTACTTTTTACAATCGCTAACATGTGCACATGTTAGCAGGAGGAACTCAGGCAGGAGGGCGCGGCGCGAAGAACAGCCCGCAGGCGCACCTCTGCCCGGGCGGCTCTCTGCCCGGCGCCCGCTATCCCAGAGGCTGGACTCCTTCTCCAGCACAGTCTATGTAGAATAGATACTTTCCTTTAAGTCAAGTAATTCATACAACTTCCTTTCAACCTTAATACTGTACTGAAAAACATTATTCTCCAATATTTTTGTTAATTTGCATTAAGAAAAAGAACGACAAAAAGGTATGGAATTACAGAACGGATATATTACAATTTATTTACTCAGTTCCCCTGATGGACAGAGAGAGAGGGAGGGAGGGAGGGAAAGAGAGGGGGAGAGAAAAAGGAAAGGGAAGAAAAGTCATTCTTGAACATTATCCTCTAGAGTCTTCTAATTTGCTGGCATATTATCACCTTGAGAGGAATTAAGTATTTTCATTGACTTTCTCATTAAAAACATATTCCTCTTTTACTTTCAAAATTAAGCAGAATTTATAGAATACTTTCATACTACTAGAAAAAAAGTTATACCTAAAACCATTACCATTAAACTATTATTTAAAGATGGTCATTTGTTCTTTCATTTAGGAAATAAGAAATGAAAATCCTTTAGCAAGTATTTACACTATTCACTTTTAATTTAAAATTCAAAGACTAAATATCATGTCCAAAAGCAGTCTCAATCTTAAAAATGAACTGTTTTCAAATTACCACTTCATCAGAAAACGTTTTCTTTTTTTTTTCATTTATTTTTATTAGTTGAAGGCTAATTACTTTACCATATTGTAGTGGGTTTTGTCATACATTGACATGAATCAGCCATGGATTTACATGTATTCCCCATCCCAATCCCCCCTCCCAGAAAACATTTTCTTTCAGTAGCTAGTTTCAAAAAGATAAAAGCAAATACCTGCCAAAACCAAATGATTTGCTTGCTGTTTCTGGTATAATGTCGATACACAGTGTTTCTCTGCCAATCTGTCAGGTCAACCTCCTGCATGCCACACAACATAACCTGGGAAACGAGCGCAGTATCAGGTCAGAGTCAAGATTTAGTGAAGAGAGTAACTACAGGACTGAAATCTGCTAGTGCCCAGCTGTGCACATGCATAATTATGTCAATGGCGTACATCAAATAATGATCATAGTAAAGCAAGTCTAACTAAACTGTGTGGCAATGTAACATGCAGAATTCTTTGGTTCTTATCTTATTCATGTTTACTGAACTTAAAAACATTCAAAAGTAACTATTCTTCAAGAGAAACATCGGCTATACAAAAACAATCACTTTTACTACACATATATCCCAAATCACATACAAGTAAGTTTTAAACATAAATTTCTGGTTCTTCTTTTCTTAATCCATGCTACCTTACCTATTTAAAATTAAAAATATACTAACCTCCTGTTATTCATCTATCCAGGCTTTGAGAATAAAATATTCTAGATATGTAAAATTTTCAAATAACTCTAGTTTATTATATATGGGATGAAAACTATTTTGGGCATAATAAACTACAATATTTTATTTCTTATATCAACTATGATCTATAATGTACACACAATAAAGCGTGCATATTTTAAGTAAAGAGTTAGGTGCATTTTAACAGAAGTATATACATGTTAACCACCTCCATAATCAAGAGGTAGAATATGTTATGTCCCTTGTCGCAGTTAACCACCACCATCCTCATCCCTGGCCCCAGGTGATCGGTGGTTTCACCACAGACTAGATTTCCGAACACAGCAGACACACTACACTCATCCCTCTCTTCTGTTTTCTCCTCTGGCCAGTAGAATGTTTATGAGATTCATTCATGCTGTGATGGGTACCAGTGGTTCTTTCACATTGCTGACAGGTCTTTCATTATGTAAATATACAATTTATTTATCCATTCTCTTGTTGATGGACATTTAGGTTACTTCAAATTTTTTATTTTGATGAATAAAACTGTGATGAACATTTATGGAAAAGTTCTTCTGTGAACATATGTATTTCATTTCCACATGAGTAAACACCTACTAGTGGAACCGCTAGGACATAAGGCTGAGGCATGTTTAATAGTGATAATTCATTTAGTTTGAATCTGTATTTCCCCAATGATTAGTAAGCATCTCCCCCTGTTTATACGCCATCAATAGAGCTTCCTTAAAGAAGTAAGTCTTTGTCCACTTAAAAATTGTCTTTTTACTGAGTGACAGGTTTTTAATATAGTCTGGATATAACACCTTTGTCTCAAGAGTTTCTCTCAGCAGGTAGGTTGCCTTTTCATTTACTTGACATCATCTTTTGAGAAGTTTTTAATTTTGATGAAGTCCAACATCCTTTGTGTTCTTCCTAAGACACTTCAGTCTAGACTAAGATTTTTCTACTATGCTATATTTTTAGTTTTCATATTTATATTCATAATTTATTTCAAATTAATCTTTATAAGCTGACTTGGGGTCAAAATTAATTTTCTTCTATATGAATATCAAGTTAATCCAGAATCATTTGTTTAAGACTTTTCCCCTTTCCCCATCAAAATATATTAGTACTTTTGATGAAAATAATGACAATATATATGTGGATCTATTCTGGACTCTTAATTAAAAGTGTTCCACTGACCTATATGTCTATCCTCACACAAATATCACACTACCTTAATTACTATGGCTTATAAAAATTCTTGACATCAGGTAGTAAACATCCTGTAAGATTTGTCCTTTTCAACAATGTTTTGGCTAATCTAGAACCTGTGCATTTTCTTGTAATTTTAAAACTAGCCCATCAATTTCTACAGAAAATTCTACCAGGATGTTGATCGGGTTGTGTTGTTTGGAGAACACTGGTATTTACAATACTGAATCTTCCAATACATATCATGAAATATCTCTCCACTTATTAAAATTTTAATTTTTCTCAGCAATGCTTCCAGTTTTTAGGATAGAGTTCTTAACATGCCCTTGGCTAAATTTATTCTTTTTTTTTTTAATGCATTAGTAAACGAAACTTCATCAATTTCTAAATGTTTGCTGCTAGCATGCAGAAGATACACAATTGATTTTTTAAATTACTGAGCTCCTACCCTACAGTGAATTATTAAAATTCATTATCATTTCTGGTTGTTTTTTGGTAGGTCCCTTAGGATTTTCTAAGTTGACAATCATGTTATCATCTGTGAATAAAGGCAGTTTTACGTCTTTCCAAACTTTATGCTTTTTGCTTCTACTTCTGCCTTATTGATTGCACTGGCTTCAGAATATGGTACAATGTAGAACACAAGTGGTGAGAGTGGACATCACTGAGTTCCCAATCGCAGTGAGAAATATTCAAGATATCACTATTAGAATGATATTAGGATTTATCTTTTTTGTTTATGCCCTTTATCAAAATGAGACAGCTGCCTTCTATTCCTAGTGTAATGAAGAGCTGTCATACAGAATGACTGTTTTATCTTCTTACAAATAGATTTTAACCTGTAAAAAGGGGCATGATTATGGATAACCTTTCTTCTGGATAATGGTGTAAATATTCTTTATTGTGGTATTATTCATGGTTAAAAGAGACAACGAATGGGAGTAGAAGAAACAAGAGAAAGACAAAACAAAACAAATTTTATTTCCTCACAGCTCTGTACTGTGAGCCAAAAGCAAATCAGTCTCCTTATTTATCATGTAGCCAGACTATTTCACAAGGTGTCCTGTGAGAAGACTGGAAGCGCCACCAAGGTGACATATGCACCTATTAGTATCTTTCTTTATCTGCCGCTTTAGTTTCCTGTCAGCTCTGATGTCAGGCTCTTGTTTTAACATCCTTCTCTCACGGAGTGGGCCCCTAAGACAGCAGTTCTTAACCAAGGGTATGGAGTGTTTTAGATGTATGCATTTTGAGGATGCAAAATTGTTTCATTTTCTTCATATTCTTAATAAAGTTGGTCATTTAAAAAATGATTAATACTACTCTAAAAAGTATCTTCCATTCTACTAATGCATTTCTGCTAATTTCTGTAAGCAAGCTGTTAGGAAAGAGACGTTAACTAACGTTTACAGAGTCTGCCTGTAACTCAGGCTCTGACTCCTAATTTTCATGTAATTCCCATGTCAGAATTTCTAGAAGGCTAATTCCTACATAGGAATATTGCTGTATAAAATTTAAAATGCTAATTTTTTCATATGCACATTTTGATTACAGGACAAACTAAGTTTCTTAACAGAGGACGCAGGAAGGCTGAAGTTAAAATACTGTCCCCAAAAGGTGGCAGAGGGGAAATGCAAGCACTTTCCTAAATGGCCCTCCCTACGTTCTAATCTACATGGGGGAGACTTGGAGAATTCACAATAACTAATCGTCAGGGACACATAAAGCCATAGTGAGCTACCACCTCATACTATTATTAATGGAATTGTTACTACTAAAAACAAAAACAGAAAATAACAAGTATAGACAAAGATGTGGAGAAGTTGGAAGCCTTACATACATTTGGTGGGAATGGAAAATGGTACAGTTGCTATGGGAAACGGTAGCGGTTCTTCAAGAAGTTAAATAGAGAATTACTATCTGATAGAGCAATACCACTCCTGAGTATATACTCAAAAGAACTGAAAGCAGGGTCTCAAAGAGTATTCTGTACACTCATGTTCATAGCAGCATTATTCACAATCACCAAAAGGTGGAATGAAGACAAAGATGCAGTGACTGATGAATGGATAAAGAAAATAAACACATATATTTATTATGTATATCAGTTGTGACCACTGTGATTTATCAGTTGACTCTTTGTGACCCCACGGACTGCAGCACGCCAGGCTTCCCTTGTCCTCCACCATCTCCCAGAGCTTGCCTAAACTCACATCCATTGAGTTGGTGATGCCATCCAACCATCTCATCCTCTGTCATCCCTTCTCCTATCTTCAATCTTTCCCAGCATCAGGATCTTTCTAATGAGTCAGCTCTTCCAACCAGGTGGCCAAAGTACTGCAGTTTCAGCCTCAGCATCAGTCTTTCCAATGAACACCCAGGACTGATCTCCTTTAGGATGGACTGGTTGGATCTCCTTGCAGTCCAAGGGACTCTCAAGAGTCTTCTCCAACACCACAGTTCAAAAGCATCAATTCTTCGGTGCTCAGCTTTCTTTATAGTCCAACTCTCACATCCATACATGACCACTGGAAAAACCATAGCTTTGACTGGACAGACCTTTGTTGGCAAAGTAATGACTCTTTTTAAAACGCTGTCTAAGTTGTCATAACTTTTCTTCCAAGGAGCAAGCATCTTTTAATTTCATGGCTGCAGTCACCATCTGCAGTGACTTTGGAGCCCAAGAAAATAAAGTCTGTTACGGTTTTCATTGTTTCCCAATCTATTTGCCATGAAGTGATGGGACTGGATGCCATGATCTTAGTTTTTTGAATGTTGAGTTTTAAGCCAACTTTTTCACTTTCCTCTTTCAGCTTCATCAAGAGGATCTTTAGTTCCTTTCAGCTTTCTACCCTAAGGGTGGTGTCATCTGCATATCTGAGGTCATTGATATTTCTCCTGATAATGTTGATCCCACTTGCGGTTCATCCAGTCTGGCACTTCAGTGATGTACTCTGCATAAAAGTTAAATAAACAGGGTGACAATATACAGCCTTGACATACTCCTTTCTCAATCTAGAACCAGTCCATTGTTCCATGTCTGGTTCTAACTGTTGCTTCTTGATCTGCATAGAAGCAATAGGTTTCTCAGGAGGTAGGTAAGGTGGTCTGGTATTCCCATCTCTTTCAGAATTTTCCACAGTTGTGGACTACACAGTCAAAGACTTTACTGTGAAGCAGAAGTAGATGTTTTTCTGGAACTCTCTTGATTTTTCAATGATCAAATGGGTGTTGGCAATTTGATCTCTGGTTCCTCTGCCTTTTCTAAATCCAGCTTGAACATCTGGAAGTGCACGGTTCATGTACTATTGAAGCCTAGCTTGGAGACTTTTGAACATTACTTTGCTGGCATGTGAAATGAGTGTGCAGTAGCTTGAACATTCTTTGGCATTGACCTTCTTTGAGACTGGAATGAAAACTCAATCTCTTTTTCCAGTCCTGTGGCCACAGCTGAGTTTTCCACTCCAATGGCATAGTGACTGCAACACTTTAACAGCATCATCTTTTAAGATTTGAAATAGCTCGGCTGGAATTCCATCACCTCCACTAGTTCTGTTGGTAGTGATGCTTCCTAAGGCCCACTTGACTTCACGCCCCAAGATGTCTGCTCTAAGTGAGTGATCACACCATCATGGTTATCTGGGTCATTAAAGTCTTTTTTGTATAGTTCTTCTGTGTATTCTTGTCACCTCTTCTAAATAATCTCTGCTTCTGTTAGGTCCATACCATTTCTATCCCTTATCATGCCCAACCTTGCATGAAATATTCCCTTCGTATCTCTAATTTTTTGAAGAGATCTCTAGTCTTTCCCATTCTATTGTTTTCCTCTGTTTCTTTATATTGTTCACTTAGGAAGGCTTTCTTATCTCCCCTTGCTATTCTTTGGAAGTCTGCATTCAGATGTGTATATCTTTCCTTTTCTTCTTTGCCTTTCACTTCTCTTCTTTTCTCAGCTATTTGTAAGGCCTCGTGAGACAATCATTTTGCCTTTTTGCATTTCTTTTTCTTGGGTACAGTTTTGATCACTGCCTCCTGTACAATGTTATGAACTTCTGCCCATAGTTCTTCAGGCACTCTGCCTATCAGGTCTAATCCCTTGAGTCTATTTGTCACTTCCACTGTATAATTGTAAGGGAACTGATTTAGGTCATACCTGAATGGTCTAGTGGTTTTCCCTACTTTCTTCAATTGAAGTCTGAATTTTACAATAAGAAGTTTATGATCTAAGAGCCACAGAGTCAGCTCCTGGTCTTGTTTTTGCTGACTGTATAGAGCTTCTCCATCTTCAGCTGCAAAGAATATAATCAATTGGATTCCGGTATTGACCATCTGGTGATGTCCACGTGTAGAGTCTTCTCTTGTGTTGCTGGAAATAGGCTGCTGGCTATGACCAGTGCATTCTCTTGGCAAAACTCTCTTAGGTTTTGCCCTGCTTCATTTTGTACTCCAAAGTCAAATCTGCCTGTTTCTCCAGGTATCTCTTGACTTCCTACTTTTGCATTCCAGTCCCCTATGATGAAAAGGACATCTTTTATTCTAGTGTTAGTCCTAGAAGATCTTATAGGTCTTCACAGAACCTGTCAACTTCAGCTTCTTCGGCATTAGTGGTTGGGGCACAGACTTGAATTACTGTGATACTGAATCATCTGCCTTGGAAACAAACAGAGACCAGTCTGTTGTTTTTGAGATGGCACCCAAGTCCTGCATTTTGGACTCTTTTGTTGACTATGATGGCTACTCCATTTCTACTAAGGGATTCTTGCCCACAGTAGTACATATAATGGTCATCTGAATTAAATTTGCCCAAACTGGTCCATTTTAGTTCACTGATTCCTTAAATGTTAATGTTCACTCTTGCCATCTCCTGTTTGATCACTTCCGATTTACCTTGATTCATGGACCTAACATTCCAGGTTCCTATGCAATATTGTTCTTTACAGCATAAGACTTTACTTTCACCACCAGACACATCCACAACTGGACGTTGCTTCTGCTGTGGTTCAGCCTCTTCATTTCTTCTGGAGCTATTTCTCCACTCTTCTCCAGTAGCATACTGGGCACCTACTGATTGGGGAGTTCATTTTTCAGGGTCGCATGTCTTGCCTTTTCTTACTGTTTACTATATATATGTTGTTGTTGTTCAGTCACTCAGTAGCATCTGCCTCTGCGATCCCAGGGTCTGCAGCCCATCAGGCTCCTATGTCCATAGGATTCTCCAGGCAAGTATACTGGAGTGGGTTGCCATTTCCTCCTCCAGGATATATATGTTACTTACATATATATAGTAAATACTGAAAATATATACACATACGTTGTATATGTATACCTGTATATTGTATATATTCAGTATTAAAAAGCAAAAATTTTTTCACATGATACAATATGGATGAACCATGAAGACATTATGGTAACTGAAATAAGGCAGTCACAATAAGACAAATATTGTATGGTTCCCCCTACTTGAGTTCCCCCAATTATTAATAAGTTTGCACTCTTGAGGAGCCCTAAGAGTTGGCACTGACTGATGGTTTTGTGCTATGACAGCATCACATTTGGGAGAACTGAAGACCCTTACTCAGTGCTGGAATTTTATACCCCCTAAACATTTCAATGAATCAGAGCGGACTGAAGATGGTGCCATATGTTTTTACAGCTTGCGGACATTCTATTATAGAAGCATAACAACAGACCCTCCTCCCATTAACTTTCCCTATAATAGCATAATAAAAGAGCCTAACCTCCAATTCTTTTTCATCAAAGTACTGCAGCCACTGAAGGGGAACAACCTCATTAAAGCCATCAAGGAAAGCTTTGGTCTGTTCTTGTACTCCTCGAGAAAAACGCCACTCAGTCATTAAACTGAAAATAAAGATGGTATTTAAAAAGATGGTACTTTCTATGTAAGGTAAAAGGCTTTAAAACTCAGAGTACTTCTTAACCATCATTAAAAGAGAAAGTGAAGAAAATCAGTAAGCTGTATGGACCATAGAATTTAAGTGAGCACAGTTTCAAATCAGAAGTTGTGGTGAGCACTATTAAAAGAATAAGTCAAAAAGGGAAAGTGAAATGGAATAGGAATGAGTATCACAGTGCTAGTCAGGTGCGGCTCCGGACTTGGTTTTGCTACTATCTACAGAGTGCCTCCATCTCCTCATCTAGAAATGAAGAAGTGCATGGGCTTTGAAAAGCCCTTCTTTAGCACCAGTGTTCTCTGATTTTTGATTCAGACAAGGTAGGATGCAATACAGCAAATGGCAGTGGGAAAGTGGAGGTCATCATATACACTTTTTTTTCAAGAATGTTAGTACTGTTGGGAAGAATTTAAATAAATGTATGTCAGAGGCAAGGGAAGTGGGATTTTTTTAAATTATATTTGAATTTTTGAGTGTTTTGCAACATGTTTATAAATTAAGAGGAAGATTGAGTAGAGAAAAAATAATTAAAAAGGATCACTGAAAGAGGGAATGAATGTGGAACATGTCCCCAGAGAAGCAAACAAGGCATTAAGACAAGGGTATAGAGAGACAGTTCTAAGATGCTCTGGCAGTTGTAGAAAGTATGGACAATCACCTTACCCAATATATTCATCTTTGTTCTCCTCTGTCACTAGGATATTGGAACCTCCCAACTTCAGGTCATGTGACGTAACCTTCCCCAAAATCTCCATGTCAACAGAAAAGTACATTTCTAAGCCACATTCTTCAATATTGTTGTCTCTGGGTGATAGAGAGATACAACCACTAATTAACAAAATATGTAAAATTGGTTTCAAGAAAATACCTTATTGAAAGATAAATCTTCAAACCTTATCCAGATAAGGGAATTATAAAATTCAGTATCAATCGATTCCAAATCCTTAATAGTCAGTTTTTTACTTAGCATACGCTTGTAGAAGGGTAATGAGAAACCAGTATCAATAAACTTCCCATGAAAAAGAGCCTGCCAAGAAAAAAAAATTGTTTTTTAATTTACAAAGTAGCAATTTTCCTATTCAGGCACAATGATAACAGAGGTATCATAAAGGCTTTACAGGCAAAAAAGTACTTAATAATTAATCAGCATAAATCATGAAAACTAAAAGACTGAAATCATGAAAACTGAAAAATAAAATATTCTATAAAATGCTAAGTACGAAAAACAAATTTAGAGTGAAAACAGTATCTCTTTAACTGAGGTCAAACACTGAGCTATACGATGTTCTGTCAATAACTTTAGAAGAGGATGACAATGGAGCCTTATCAAACCCCCACTTTTCAATATGTTTCATGAATTACATTAACCCTACTGGAGACAGAAAAGAAGGCGTTCTGGGGCTCCCTGTGCACCTGGGAAGACCCCTCCCCAACTCCTTTCTTACCCCACAGCTGCCTGAGAGATCCTCAGGACTAACCCTGTCCTGCCTTCACAACGGCCAACGCAGAGAGCCCCAGACCTGCAGTACCTGGACTCTCACCACCATCCGCCTGGCTGCTCTGAAACCCGATTCCGTGACTCACATCTGACCTGACTTTCAAAACCATCCATGTTTTGTCCTCTCCAAGCTCATGGTCCATCATTAGCAAAATCCCCCACATTCTCAATTCATCCTTTGAAGATCCTTTTGCATCTTGTTCCAACAGAAATCTGGCGTTTTTCTGAGGATGCTGTTTCCGTTCAGACCCTCTCAGGGAGCTGGCTGTCTCTCTCCTGCCCCATCCCTGTGTCACCAAGTCTGTGAGTGGTTGTGCTGCTTCCCATCACTGATCTCACCTCCCTCTCCTGCTCCGGCCTGCAAGACCACGCCAGCCCTCTACGTTCACGGCTCACCACCCCTTACTTCCTTACTGCAGTCATCATTAGACCTTCCGGTTTCCCCCCTTTACTCATTCAATCCCATGCTTTTTCAACACGACCGTCATCATTTTTAAGATTTCACGGTCTACGCTGATGATTCTTTTACTATGCTGGCACATTTTAATCCTTTCTGTGATCTTAGTCTTTAACTTAGTTAAATGTTCTCAACACCATGCCCTTGTCACTGTTATTAGCACTGACTGCAATTCCTTCATAAATTGAATTCCAAAGTGCTCCTGACATTCTAGCTCACCACCTTCAGCAATAAGCACCAGCAAGTTTTGACCCCACTGGGATCTAAAATAATCCAGGGAACTTGTTAGCTTGTCCCTGTCGCTCAGCCCCCTTATGAAGTTATTTCTCCCCTTACTCAGTTTATCTTGAAAATTTTGGCCACACCACATGGCATGTGGGATCTTAGTTCCCCAAGCAGGGATGGCACCTATACCTTCTGCACTGGAAAGCTCAGAGTCTTAACTCCTCGACCACTAGGGAAGTCCTCCCCTTACTCGGTTTAGATTCCATCGTCAGTCATTAAAATTACTCCCGTGGACCTTCAGAGCACAATCACCTTAACCACCTGGCCACCTCTCCTGTGTACCTTCAAACCTTGTCTTCTCACTGCTAACGAGCACGCTCTCCATCTCACTGAGGAAGCAGAGCCACCACGAGAGAACTTCTGTTGGTTCCCCCACACCTGCTCACTAGTATTAGGTTTATGCAAAACTAACTGTGGTTTTTGCATTTTGAAATTTGCCATTTGATGTCGGAATACATTCTAAATAAATGTAGTTGTATTATACATCCTTTTAATCCACATTTCTCACTTTATAGTTTTCTTTTTTGCTAATGACTATTACTCGCTGTTTATTGTATACTTTAGACTGCAGACATCATGCTAGACAAAAAGCAAATTGAGTGATTTTTTTTTTTTAATTCGAGTACAAAATGGGTTGTAAAGCAGCACAGACAACTCACAGCAACCATGCACTTTGGCCCAGGAACTGCTAACAAACGCACAGCACAGTGGTTGTTCAAGAAGTTTTACAAAGGAGACGACAGCCTTGAAGTTGAGAAATGTAGTGGCTGGCCATCACAAGCTGACAATGACCAGCTGAGAAGATCATCAAAGACCATCCTCTTACTACATGAGAAGCTGCCAAAGAACTCAAAGCTGATCATTCTACAGTCGTTTGGCATTTGAAGCAAATGAGAAAGGTGAAAAAGCTCAGTAAGTGGGTGTCTCATAAGCTGACTGAAAATGTAAAAAGTCTTCAGTTTGAAGTGTCTTCTCTTGCTCTGTGCGATAACAGTGAGCCATTTCTCAACCAGAGGGCGACGTGTGAGGAAAAGCGGACTTTATGTGACAACTGGTGACAACCGGCTCTGTGGCTGGACTGCAAAGAAGCTCCGAAGCACTTCCCGCAGCCAAACTTGCACCGGAAAGAGGCACTGGTCACTGTTTGGTGGTCTGCTGCCAGCCTGATGTACTACGGCTTTCGGAATCCCTGCAAAACCATTACAGCTGAGATGTCTGCTCAACAAATCGAGGAGATGCACTGAAAACTGAAACGCCTACAGCCAACACTGGTCAACAGAAAAGGGCTCAATTCCCCATGACAATGTCTGATGACATCTGACTGCACGTCGCACAGCCAATGCTTCAAATGTTGAACAAATTGGGCCACGGAGTTTTGCCTCATCCACCATATTCACCTGACTTCTCACCAACCGACCACCACTTCTTCAATCATCGCTACAGTTTTTTGCAGTGAGAATGCTTCCACAACCAGCAGGAGGCAGAAGATGCTTTCCAAGAGCTCATGGAATTCCAAAGCATGGATTTTTATGCTACGAGAATAAGCAAACTTATTTCTCACTGGCAAAAATGTGTTGACTGTAATGGTTTCTATTCTGATTAATGAAGATGTGTTTAAGTCTAGTTATAATGAATTAAAATTTACTGTCTGAAACCGTAATGACGTGTGCACAAACCTAACAGCATCTGAATCTGTGTACTCCTACTGTGGAGAAGCCATGACTTCTCTCTGCACTGGACACACCTCCCCCTTGCTCTCCTATTCAAGGCCACGGCTCCCATAACCCCTCTCTCTGACCTCATCAAACCCCTTCTTCTCTTGCTGGTCATCGGCAGCATATAAATGTTCTATTCTCCTCCCGTTCCTGGTTCCATACATATTTCATGGCACCGCCCGATCTCCTATTAATCCTTCACAGCAAGTTTCTTTAAGAGATTCTGTGTGTGTGGGCTCAGTCGCTCAGTTGTGTCTGACTCTTTGTGACCTCATGGACTATAGCCCACCAGGCTCCTCTGTCCATAGGATTCCCCAGGCAAGAATCCTGGAGTGGGGTGCCACTGCCTTCCTCCAGGGGATCTTCCCAACCCAGGGATCGAACCCAGGTCTCCCACCTTGCAGGCGGCTTCTTTACCAGCTGAGCCACCAGGGAGGCCCTTTTAAGAGATTCATCAGTTCAGTCGCTCAGTCGTGTCCGACTCTTTGCGACCCCATGAACCACAGCACGCCAGGCCTCCCTGTCTATTACCAACTGCCAGAGTTTACCCAAACTCATGTCTATTGAGTCAGTGATGCTATCCAACCATCTTATCTTCTGTCGTCCCCTTTTCCTCCTGCCCTCAATCTTTCTCAGCATCAGGGTCTTTTCAAATGAGTCAGTTCTTCACATCAGGTGGCCAAAGTATTGGGAGTTTCAGCTTCAACATCACTCCTTCCAATGAACACCAGGACTGATTTCCTTTAGGATGGACTGGTTGGATCTCCTTGCAGTCCAAGGGACTCTCAAGAGTCTTCTCCAACACCACAGTTCAAAAGCATCAATTCTTTGGCGCTCAGCTTTCTTCACCGTCCAACTCTCACATCCATATATGACCACTGGAAAAACCATAGCCTTGACTAGACAGACCTTTCTTGGCAAAGTAATGTCTCTGATTTTTAATATGCTGTCTAGGTTGGTCATAATTTTCCTTCCAAGGAGCAAGCATCTTTTAATTTCATGGCTGCAATCACCATCCGCAGTTATTTGGGAACCCAGAAAAATAAAGTCAACCATTGTTTCCACTGTTCCCCCATCTATTTGCCATGAAGTGATGGGACGAAATGCCATGATCTTAGTTTTCTGAATGTTGAGCTTTAAGCCAACTTTTTCACTCTCCTCTTTCACTTTCATCAAGAGACTCTTTAGTTCTTCTTCACTTTCTGCCATAAGGGTGGGGTCATCTGCATAGCTGAGGTTATTGATATTTCTCCTGGCAATCTTGATTCCAGCTTGTGCTTCTTCCAACCCAGCGTTTCTCATGATGTACTCTGCATATAAGTTAAATAAGCAGGGTGACAATATACAGGCTTGACGTACTCCTTTTCCTATTTAAGAGGTTAGTTTATATTTACTGTCCCCATTTCTCCTTCCATTCTCTCTTGAGGTTCCTCCCATCCACCTTTCCTCTCCACTGCACATGAATATCATTCACCTGGCCAATTCGAACAGTTACTTCTTGGACCTCATCTTGATCAGCCAGCAGCATTCAACACAGCTGATCACTTCTTGTTTCTTGAAACACACTGCCTGCTTCCTTGGTCTGGAAACCATTTGCATTTGACTCTCCCATCTCCTCCTGTGCCCAGGCTCTTTTGCCGGTTCCTTCTCATCTCCCCAACTTGTAAGCGTCCTTAGACAGCTTCCCTGTCCACACTGATCCTTCAAATGGTTACATCGTCTTACCGAGACAGCCCCTCACTGCCAGACTTGTGCATCCAACTATCTATTCTACATCTCCACTTGAAAATCGGCAGGAATCTTAAAACAAATCCCAATTCTGGAGTCCCTTCCCAGATCTCCTCTTTGCGACAACCCTGCCATCCTGGGAAATGGCATCTGCAACCAGACACACAGACCTTACAGTTTGATGCAACACCTGACTCGCACATCTTGCATCTAAATGGACAGAAGACCTGATTGCCTCCACATGCAGATACATCCAGAACCCACAGCACGCCTCACCACGTCCATAGCTACAGCTCTCGAGGTCGAGCTTGAGGACTCCAGTACCATCTCTCAGCTGAGTTATTTCGAGTGGTCTTCCTGCTTTTCCTCTTGCTTTCCTTTGCCCTCAATTACAGTCTCTTTCTACAAGGCAGAAAACTGAGCTTAATCAATTCCATGGTCATACTATGTTCTTTAGACCACACCACTCCTGGCTCAAAGCCCTTAGCTGAATTTCTGAATGATCCCACAAACTGCCTATGTCTCATCTCCTACCACATTCCCTCTATGCACCAGCTATGACATTTTCATTCAAAAACGTACTTCCACCCAAGATCTTTTTTTTTCGAGTTGTTCCCTGTGCCTTGAAAGTTGTTCTCCAAAATATCTGCATGATTCAATCCCTTGCTTTCTTATTTCTGTTCACGTGTTACCCATCAGAGAGGCCTCCTCTACTCATGTTAAATAACAGAGCAACACTTCCTTTCCCTCAGTATGCATTTATTATTTGTCTCCCTCTAACAATATTTATATCCCTAAGAACAAGGACTGTGTCTTAATCATGGTTTCATCCCATTCATACTATGATGCCATAGCAGGCAATGTATATTTGCTAAATGAATGGATAGATAATAAAGTGCAAATAAATACATAAACACAAACACTTCTCAAGAAGTTTATAGTCCCACAAGACCTTCTACAAAGCTACGAAAATTCAAAAAATATCAATCAAGTTCAATGATTATACAACTCAGATTTTCCTTTTATTGAAAAGTGGTCATACTACAATTAGGCTTAAATGAAAGGACTTCTAAAGATCAACTGGCTGTATCAATAATCCTTATATTCACAATCTTGATTTCACACAGCAACTTATTTTGATACTCTCTAGGCAAACTTCCTTGGTAACCAAATTTGTGACTACATATAACCAAGAATGATACGTATTACTTAAAAAAAAAATCTTCTCTAAAATACTTTTGGAATAAGCAAAATTCAAATAAATAAATAAATAGGTAATGGAAAGTCAAGACTCACCATAGCAATAAAGCGACCAATGAAACAAAAGTATGAAAGATGGTCTGGATTAATAGTTGATGCTGGATTTATCTGTAGACAGTAGTTGTTCTTGCCAGCATACTCAAATAAGCAATACATGGGGTTCAAAACTTCATGTGAAAGCAAGAAAAACCATTCTCTAAAAGAAGATAAGTCAATATTATTTTTAGCAACCATGTATAAATTTAAAAACAGGCCTTAAATAAATTCATACATAACATCACACCTCCACTCAACAGCCTTTAACAACTCTACTGCCCATTGCTAAGCTGTCCATTCTAAATCACCTGCCAGCTCCCGCACTGCCAAGCTATAAACTAAGTGTTTCTCACATATTGTGTGCTTCTTCCTATGCCATATTTTTGTGTATGAATCCTGAACTTCAACTCAGCCTGTGGGGATCTCACTTTTAAGTTCAGCTGACATCTACTTCAGCAATTTTTGGAAGCATTCTTCAGTGTATTTCAGTGTCTCAGTCACTTAATACTCTGTGGTAACAATCCCACAATATTATTCATTTTTCTGTACTTGACTGGCCCACATGACCACTATATGCACCAGACTGTAAGCAACTCAAAAACAAAAGCCAGGTCTCTATTTTTTGTACCTTTAACTCTTACAGGGACTCGACAACCTATATACACTAGACTTATAAGTAAGATTTATTTTATTTATTTATGGCTGTGCTAGGTCTTCATTGCCATGTGCAGGCCTTCTCCAACTGTAGTGACTGGGCTACTTTTGATTGTGGTGCCCCAGCTTCTCACTGGAGTAGCTGCTCTTAATGCAGAGCAGGGTTCTAGGGCATGCGGGCGTCAGGAGCTGTGCTCCGGGCTCTAGAGCACAGGCTCAATAGCTGTGGCACATGGGCTAGCTGTCTTGCAGCACGTGGGATCTTCCCAGACCAGGAACCGAAACCATGTCCCCTGCATGGGCAGGTGGATTCTTTATCACTGAGCCACCACGGAAGCCCTGAACAATAGGCTCTAGTGAATATTTGCTGGTGATACTGAGATAACACACCATTGCCACTATGGAACAGTTTTAACTGGTTTTTTTTTTGGGCAATGGATTAAAAATGGAACTACAATTTTAAAAGGCGAAATCTTTAAATGGGATAGGCATTATCTAACTTATTACTATGTAATTTGTCTCATTTTAAAAAGTCCAATACAGAAAACCTGACTAGGTAAAAGATTAATAATTTATATTATAAAATAAACTCAATATGCAAAGACTGTCTTCCATAGCAATTTCTTCTAATACAGGGTTCAAAACTCAAACACCTACAGATGTTAGTGAGTACAGCGGGCTTCCTTCTCTGCATGGGCTCACAGTCTTCTACTCAGTCACAAACCCCCATTCCTCACTGTATCCTGGGTAAAAGTCACCACTGGTCTAGGAAGAATGACTTCTAGGAATGTAACCATAGCCCTTAGACAACTTGGCTATGGCGGCCAGGGACTGAGACAGAATGTATGACAGCCAACAGGGAAAGCAGCTGCTCTGACTCAGTCCACTGATGCCGTGTGAGAAGGTGTGGCAATTGTTTTTAAAGAAAGGCCAGAAATCTTGATTCATAAGAGTAATCTAGTGATTTCTTTAATGTTGTCAAATAATACAAAAAAATTTAAAATCACAATGGGGGTCATCACTATGCAAGCTAGATCTGGCCTGGCAGCCTGTTCAGAAATGCTTTTCTGAAACTTTAAAAATATAATCTTGGAAACTTAATGAAGGGTAGAGAAGGGAGTCTAAATCAACTGAGAAATGTTAAAACCAATTTATAAAACGAAATTCAGTCCCAAAACAGTAGCTGAACCAAGTTGACTTCCCACTATGATGAGGCTGAAGTCACACATGTCCCCACAAAGAGAATTGAACAGATCTAGTGGGCTGCTGTCTATGGGGTCACACAGAGTCGGACACGACTGAAGTGACTTAGCAGCAGCAGTGAGAATGTGTTTAGACACAAAAAGTAGAAATAAAACTCCCAGATGTTGCAGATGACTTTCAGCAAACAGCCCAGAGAAAACTGGGTACATTGAAAAAAAAGAATGACTACAATGTGGCATCTAACCTATACTCTAACAGTAGGAAAAAAGAAGAAAAAATTCTAAGTAACAAGAGGTAGAAGAGTTCCCTTTAACATATTCTTCCATATACTCGCAAATAAATTAAAGAGTTACAAGAGGTTTAAAAAAAATTAATAGACAAGGAATGAGCTAGCAGAGCCTAGAGAGGAAAACAGTAAAACCACCAATGATGAAAAGTCACATTAAAAGCAGCAAAACACGGGGCAGTACTGCAAACAGAGACGCGAGGACAGGTCTGAGAAAAATCAGAACAGAATGAAAAAGCACAAAGATGAAAGTGACCTGAGAAGAGATGACAGACACGTAAGACTGAGAGAGGAGAGTCCACATACCCATGACTGATGTTCCTGAAGAAAAATGGAACAAATGGAACAGAAAAAATATTCAAAGACCTAATAGAAGAAAATTTCCCTTAAATTAAGGAAGATCTTAATAAGCTCCAAAAGAAGATATAAAACAATCGACAATGAAATTAATGAACTTCAAAGAAAAGACCTGTGTGGGCACCCAGAGGGAAAAGCTGCCTAAAGGGCTGGCCTGCTACTTGATAGCGTTCACACCCCATTAGACGGCAGCGAAGCAATGGCGACCGGGCGCTGGAGAAACAGGTGTTGGTGAGAAATCTTAATCTAGTGAAGTTCTTGTTTAAATACAAAAGCAGCAGAAAACATACTCTCAAACATGTAAAACTAGAGGGATATATCACCATTGTTAACTGATTAAACCAAAACCAATACATGAATCAAAATAAAGAATTTGAGAATAAGAAAAACATGGTGTGCAGTAACTAATTATATACATTATATGCATTAAAACCATCAAAATATAAAACAAAACCCAAACAGTTGAGGTAAAAAATGGTTAAGAATGTGAATATTATAAAGTCAGACATTGTAAAAATAATACCATATTTCATTTCTAAGATGTCCCTTTTTAATGTCTGAACATTTTTGAAATTGAGACAAATCACAATAGATGTGATATGAATATCCACAGTGACAGGCAGTTTTCTCTTCTGAAAAAACTTAAAATGTTTTAGATGAGAAAATACATTAACACAACCAGTTCTGATAACTCCCCCAGTTCTAGTTTTCTACCTCTTTTTAAGTCAGCTGCACTAAAATTGTGATTATGTAATTCTGAACACCCATGAAGTATGAGTTCAAAAAGAGAGTTGTTTCTAAGAAAAGCAAATTTAATTCTTTAATGAAAATGCTTTGACTAAAAAACAAACTGCTATCAAATTAGGTCTGGGCAAAGCAACTGAGGGGAAAAAATTAAATAAAAAGGATCTGCTGTTCTTATTGCTTCATAAGTGTCTGTTAAAAAAATATTTAGTAAATGTGGAAAACTATTTAGTCAAAAGGACTCAGACTGGATTAAAAACACAAACATCAAACCAACACAAATTGTTCTAATAGCAAAAAATAAGAAACAACCTTATTTATGCTGATTCATCAACTATACTATGTTCAAACAATGGAAGATTATGCAACCATGAGTATAAGGTCTATATGAGATATGGAAAGATATACATGATATACAAAATAACAAAATCAAGCTGCTGTATTTTGCAAATTGTATGATCAATTCTGTTTTTAAAAAATCAGCAAATATGTATGATATCACACATATACTCAAATTTATATACAGTTGACCCTTGAACAACATGCTTTTGAACTGTGCCAAGTCCCCTTATAAACGAATTTTTTTTCAATATAGTACCTGTATTTTCATTTTACAAATATCTTAAAATCAATTAAGTACAGCAAAAGTCAGAGATCACAGTGTGTGGAACTGAAAGAACTAGGGATTTGAATCCAGATTTTATCCAAACTGCTTTAGCTTCCTGTCCTTTGGTAAGTCATTTATCAAATCCTTTGTTTTGTGTTGTTTTTAATGGAAGTAAAGTTGATTTACAATATTGTGTTAGTTTTAAGGCATATAGTAAAGTGTTTCAGTTAAATTTTTTCAGATTATATTCCATTATAGGTTTGTACATGATATTGAATATAATTCTGTGGTATACAGTAAATCCTTGTAGCTTATCTATTTTATGTATAGTAGCTTACACTGATTAATCCCACACTCTTTTGTTTTTGAAACAGAAGTAGCAGTATGCAGATTTTTGACAACATGGGGTTCAGCACCCCTAACCCCCATGTTTTCAAGGGTCAACTGAATATGCAGATAAAATGTACAGGATAAGCAACATAATAATAATAATGGCTACTGATAGGTTTACATGAATATTTCAATTGTTTTTAAAAATAATTCCAGATTGCTATTGAAAAAATGTACCTTTTCAAGAATATATCTACAGTGGAGATACACTTATTTCAAAGCAGATATATCTTTTATTTTACCTTGCTAGGCCACCATAATCAAGTCCTTCTTCTCCTCTAAATATTACATATAATCGCCTCCTCAAGTCATATGGTTTTAATGCCATAATCTAATTAAAAACAAAAACATGGATGCTTAAACATCATATGTAATACAAGTCTCCTCCAAAACAGTTTTATTTAAATTTCATCTGTGTTTTCAAAATTTCACATTTCGTTATCTTATACAACAATGCTTTTAATTCAAAGAGATCAACTGGTTTATTCCACAAACTAGCAAAGATGCATCTTACTCTACTAAGCTTTCTCTGATTAACTTTCATAAATCTCTTTCCCCTCTTCTGGTATTAAATGGTAGTTCTACTTTCAGTTAGTAGCAAGAGAGGAACAGCTTGAAACAATGTTTTTCAGGTTAGAACATATTCCCATCTCTGTCACTCTCCAAATTTTACCGAAATCTTATAAAAAGGTGACCTGAAAATTTTTTTGACAAGCAACACTTAATGAAAAGTAGAATTTATTGCTTATACCACACATTCCATTTCTCAGTAGGAAAGGAACTGAGCTATCATGAAGAATTATTTATAAGATGATGAATTTTAGCATAAAAAGGTTTATCTTAAAACTATACCTATACTAGATTTTTTATAAGCCTTAAAGGCTCACACTAAGGTTACCAGTAAATAAGCTCTACTTCCAGATAAAAGGGAATTACTTCCCAAAGCCAAGACTGGTCTGGGTGAGGCAACAGCTCGTCAGCAGGCCTCCACTTTACAGCGAGTCAGGGGCTCACAGAGCATGATTCTCCCCAAGCCAGAGGACAAAGCCAAGTAAAATCTACCATGAATTCAGATGTGTATGTATTAAAACAAAGTTTACACAGAGCTTGGAACAAGATAAAAACTTATTAAATCAAACAGAAAAAGTTTTGATGATAATAGCTATATTAAGTAACTTGTCCAAACTGCAACAAGTGACTAAACTGAGGCTAGGATTTGAACATCATTGACTTAAGAACTGTTATTCCATTGTGGCTTCTATACATACAAGTCGCTATGTACCTGAACTCAGAGAATTTTAATTCATCACTGTAATACCTTGGGAGAGGACTGAGAAGAAAAATTCTCAACCTCGTCAGAAAAAAAGAACTGACAATATTTTGGTTTTTCATCTCTATTGTACAGATAATTCAGCAAAGGTATTACATTCATTTGTTCATGCCACCAAATGTTTATTAATACCTGCTTATGTGCAAAGCACTGTTTCTAGGTACTGTGCAAAGCAGCAGTAAACAAAACAGCTGTGATCTCTTGAAGTTTCATTCTGGTAAGGGAGATAGAGTGTGTTTGGTGGTGGGAGTGGTTTAGTCGCTCAGTTGTGTCCAAGCCTGTGACTCCGTGGACTGTAGCACGCCAGGCTCCATGGGGTTCTCCAGGCAAGACTACTGGAGTGGGCTGCCAGTTCCTTCTCCGCAGATGGTGAGAAGTGTTACAAACAAGAATGAAGTACCATGACTGGCTATAATGGGACTGTGACGGAGGTGAGCAGAGAACTGCCATCTTAAATGAGTGCTCGCACAAGGTCTGAGGTCATGACGTTTAACAGAAACCAGGAGGAAGTGAGAGCTAACACTAGGGTGTGAAAGAAATATTTAAATGGAATACAGGGTCTACACCAATCTAATTTTAATTTAGTCTCATATCATGACTTTGTTGAGTTAATAAAGTCTTAATAAAAAAGTAAACAGGTGTCAAAATATGTCAACTTGTTCCAGAGCTCGTTATGCTTTATTTTAGTAATCTAATTCATGGTAGAATGGCTTTGTTTCTCAGCCTAGGTACCTGTGCCTGTAAAAATGGGAGATAATGACAGGAGCTCCCTCAAAGGGATTTTGTGATGAATTAAATGAAATGATAAATGGAAGGTGCCAGTGCTAAGCATATGACAATCACTTGATACATGATGGATTTTATTATTATAAGGGACACTCAGTAAGTGGCAGTCATTGTCACAGCTGTGTTCTAAATGGCTGAGAATTTCTAAACCTTAACTCCCTTTAGATATAATGAATACAACAACTCAAGTTGTATGATTTCCCTCAGTATCCAAGATGAGTTGGTTCTAGGACAGCTCCATAGATACCAAAATATGGGGGTGCTCAACTTATGTGCATCTTCCCATATAATTTTAAATCATTTCTAAATTACTTATATACTTAATACAATATAAATACCACATACACACAAGCACACCTCAGAGATATTATAGGTTTGGTTCCAGAGTACCGCAATAAAGAGAATATCACAATAAATCAAGTTACACTAATTTTCTGGTTTCCCAGTGCATATAAAAGTCATGTTAACATTGTATTATAGTCTATTAAGGGGGCAATAGCATTATGTCTAAAAAGACAATGTACAGACTTTAATTTAAAAAATACTCTTATTGTTAAAAAAAAAATGCTAACCATGACATCAGCAGTTGAATCTTTTTAGAACAGAAAATCAAACGTAATGGCTCAGAGATTGCCTTAACAAATTAATAATAATGAAAAGTTTGGAGCACGTCAAGAATGACGAAAATGTGACACAGGGACACTCCCAAGTGAGCACGTGCTGCTGGAAAAACGGTGCTGTGAGACCTGCCCAACACAAGACTGCCACAAACCTTCATCTGTAAAAACCACACTATCTGCAAAGTAAAATAAAGCAAGGCACAATAAAACAATCTACTGGCTGCAGCAAATTCAAATTTCGCCTTTTGAAACCTTCTGTAAATCTCCCTCCATCCCACCGCAGAATATTTTCTATCCACAGTTGGCTGAATCCATGGATGCTATTATATCTGTGGATACAGAGGGCTGACTGAACAATTTTATTCTGGTACATCTTTCTTACCTGTTGGAAGGAATCTTCAAACAATGTCTGCCGGGACACATTGATCTTTACGTGGCTGGGTAGAGCATTAGACTGAAAACAAAAATAATATCGTGGTATCATGTTAGTTACAGTACGCGTGCCCTGTAACAAGAAAACTAAATGATTACAAACAGAAGGTTTATTTACCACTGCAGTACCTGGCACAAGTAACGGAAGTGAGCAAGTTTCCACCTGAAGCTGCGTTCATAGGCAATCTGTGGACCACCTTTAGTTCTAAAGAAAAACAAAAACAAACCATATATTAATAAATAATAAAGCTGGATGTTCATTATTCAGTATGAAACTGGAGAGTACCAGTGTCCTACAAATGACAGCAAGCTACTCTGTAACACCTGCTGGGAGAGAAGCGAAGGTAATATTTAGGGGGCCAACAGGGAGCAATGAGGACACACGATATATACACACAAAGACAGAGATGATGTGCATGGGCAGATATTTTGCAAAGAAGTTAGTTAATGTGCTTAAAGGATACAATAAACAAAGAAGCTAGTTAATGTGCTAAAAACATACAATAACAAACAAAAGAATTGTATATAAGCAAAAACATCTTTTGGTAAAAATGAAAGCATTTATAGAAAAACAAAAACCAGATTTGTTATTAGCATAACAAATTAAAGGGTAATAGTAAAAAATATTTTTAAGAGGAGATAATTCCCACATAACAGAGTGAAGAAGCAGGAACAAAATTCAATATGTAACTCCAAATAAATAAAAAATGTACAAAGCAGTGAAAATATGTGATAGAATTTAAATATATATGTGTATTATACATAGTTACAGTTAGCATAATGGGAAAAGTTTCCTCATATCTGGAAAACACATATTAAAAGCCAGTAGTATTTCAGACAAAAAAAACCCCATAAAACATAAATCATATTGTTCTTTCAGTCCCATGTAATTATTCTTGTTGGTCTTGATCTCTTGTTAGCAGTTTATGAAGCCATCTGGTTTTCCATTAGAATTCTGTAATTTCTTACTCAGTTAAGTGGTATGATTTAAAAGTTATTAGAAACCTCTATTTGTAAAAAAGTCCTCTCTATGAATCCTCTGGAAGATCTTCATGTTTGTAAAAGCATCAGAGTAATATAAACGTCAGAGAACTGAAATAGTATGATTAAAGAACCAACTGCAATGCAACTGACAAAGAAATCTGGCTATTTATGCAACATATAACATCTTAAGATAATAACTAAAATTATGATACAACACTATTCCAGGATATACCCAATTTGAGGAATGTCATATAATTTCTAGAACATTTACATTAATTAACATTTAGCTGTAGAATCTAAGAAGTTTTATCATTACATTTGACAGTGCTTCCCATGTAGTACAACATACCAAATAAGCCTAATTATCAATACTTCAATCTCTCTTCAAAGAGAACTTATGTAAGCATATAAAATTTAGCTAGAGATGAAAAGAATCCCTTTAGCACATTAAAGTTATCTTTCTTTGTGGGGGAGGGGTGTGGAAAAGGCAAAGATACTTTTTCCTGGCAAAAACTGAAAAAAAAATTGTAATTAAAATTAAAAAATGATAAACTAAAATAGGCAACAAAGACCTACCATATATATAGCAATACTCTGTAATAGCCTATATGGGAAAAGAACCTGAAAAAGAACAGATATATGTATGCATGCAGGTCAGGAAGCAACAGTCAGAACTGGACATGGAACAACAGACTGGTTCCAAATAGGAAAAGGAGTATACCAAGGCTGTTTATCGTCACCCTGCTTATTTAACTTAAATGCAGAGTACATCATGAGAAACGCTGGGCTGGACAAAGCACAAGCTGGAATCAAGACTGCCAGGAGAAGTATCAGTAACCTGAGATATGCAGATGACACCACCCTTATGGCAGAAAGTGAAGAGGAACTAAAGAGCCCCTTGATAAAAGTGAAAGAGAAGAGTGAAAAACTTGGCTTAAAGCTCGACATTCAGAAAACTAAGATCATGGCATTTGGTCCCATCACTTCATGGCAAATAGATGGGGAAACAGTGGCAGACTTTATTTTGGGGGGTTCTAAAATCACTGTAGATGATGATTATAGCCATGAAATTAAACAATGCTTACTCCTTAGAAGAAAAGTTATCACCAACATAGACAGCATATTACAAAGCAGAGACATTCCTTTGCCAGCAAAGTTCGGTCTAGTCAAGGCTATGGTTTTTCCAGTAGTCATGTATGGATGTGAGACTTGGACCATAAAGAAAGCTGAGTGCCAAAGAATTGATGCTTTTGAACTGTGGTGTTGGAGAAGACTCTTGGGAGTCCCTTGGATTGCAAGGAGATCCAATCAGTCCATCCTAAAGGAGATTAGTCCTGAATATTCATTGGAAGGACTGATACTGAAACTGAAACTCCAATACTTTGGCCACCTGATGTGAAGAACTGACTCATTGGAAAAGACCCTGATGCTGGGAAAGATTGAAGGCAGGAGAAGGGGACGACAGAAGATGAGATGGTCGGATGGCATCACCAACTCAATGGATGTGAGTTTGAGTAAACTCCAGGAGTTGGTGATAAGACAGGGAGGCCTGGCATGCTGCAGTCCATGGGGTCGCAAAGGGTCAGACACAACTTTTGAGCGACTGACCTGACCTGATGCATGCACGTGTGCTCAGCTGCGTCCGACTCTGCAGCCCCATGGACTGTAGCCCGCCAGGCTTCTCTGTACATGGGATTTCCCAGGCAAGAATATTGGAGTGGATATGTATAACTAAATCACCCTGCTGTATACCTGAAACTAACACAATATTGTAGATAGATAAATATACTCCAACATAAAATGAAAATTTTTAAAAATTTAAAAGATATTAAAGAAACTGACAGAGTTTTCAAATAACCCAGCACTTCTAATAGAGTGTTGCAGGTGAAAAAAAAATATGTTTCAAAGGCTTATTTCTCACTAACATAATGAGATTTACATTTTTATTAGAAAACATAAACTGACACTAGAATTTGCAGGAATATAGATGGGGAGGGGGGAGATAGGCATAATACCTATAATATAAAAAAAAATATAAAGCTGAATTGTGTTATGACACCAGGATTGGCACCAGGACTTGTCGTGGATGGTATATATTGCTTTTTCTACACTTTTTCTGGGGTTATACTTTCCACCACATTTTAGATTTTAACCATGTATTAGAGTGCAAATATTAAATGTTATATTAAAAAGTTATTTAAATATGAACGTCTATGACTATTTAAAAAAAAACTTCTTGCTAACCCTTAAATCCAAGGAGGGGAGGACAAGAGGCTCTAGGTAGAAGAGACAGGAAAGGATATTCCTTTTACATGTTAAAGTTAATTTGAAATCAAAACAAATACTGCTGAAGAGAGTAAACAAAGCAAAACTGAGCTCCTAGGAAGCGATGTCCAGGTCACCCAGCTCAGCAGGTCAGTAAGGGAAAAAGCAGGGTGGCCGGCATTTAGGGGAAGTGCTATTCACACTGAGAGCCCTGGGTCTTTTGCCCACTAGCAACAGCCTACGAGTCAGGCATAAAGAACTTTTACATTCCCAGGGAACATTCTGCAATGGATAAAAAATGTTCTCTTCTGTTTTCAGGTTTAACTGAATTCATTCAACAAATATTTACAAAATGCACAGTATGTATCCTGGCACTATTCTAGATAGTGAGAGTATTACTGGCTAATAAAACAAACTGAAAAAAAAATACCTCTTTTTGTGTAGTCTATGTACTAGTGAAGAGAACAGACAAGAAACAATGAATAAGTAAACTATACATTTAGTGTTAGAAGAGCATAAATGTTTCACCATTCCCTCTCCTAGAAAAGGGGAAAAAAGATGAAAAAAGGACAAGGAGTGAAGTGGGGAGAAGAACTTTTCAACTGTGAACAGAATAAGCAGAGTAGGATTCACAGACAAAACAATAAGCAGAAAACATACAGGTACTACTGGGTGAAAGCGCATGCCAACCAGAGGAAATCAGAGCCCAGATGAGGAAGGCTCAGCTGTCTGAGGTACAGCTAACTTGCTAGGGAAGCTGAGGCAGAGTGAATGAGGAGAAACGTCAGACGTGAGGCTGACAAGTTAACAGGGGTCAGATGCTCCAAGGGCTCAGAGGCCATGGTCAAGTACTCTGCGGAAACCACGGAAGGGTTTTGTGGAGTAACTTTTTACTTAAAAGAAAAAATAAAACAGTAAAAAGTCTTGTATTGGGGACAGTGTTGTGCAGGTAGAAAGCAGAGTGGGACTCAGAGAAACACTCCAGGTGAGAGACCACGGCAGCTTGGACCAAAGTGACGGCAGTGGATGTGGCGAGACACAGCTGGTCCTGAGTACATTCTGAAGCTGAGGTAACTGAACTCATGATGGACTGCATGTGACATGAGAGAGAGAGTGGTCAAGGGCAATTACAAGATTTTCGGCTCAAACACACCTAAGAGTGGAGGCCCCTTCAACCGAGATGGGCAATATCCCAGGCAGAATAAGTCTGACTGATGCTAGTTATCAGGAGGAAGTTAAGAACAGCTATCAAGTAAGTAGCAGCAAAATTACAAGTGAAATGCTAGAGAAAAATGTGTGAGCTGGGTAAGATTCACCAAGAGAAATGAGTAGAGACAGCAGAGAAGAGAGAACTGAGGGGGCACTTCAGGTACATCAATGTTAACAGGCTGACAGGAGAGCAGGGCCCCCCATCACCCACAAAAAGGAGGAAGAAGACAGACCAGACAGGCAGAAGGAAATCAGGAGGCAGCGTCCCGGTACTATTTCTGTCAGGAGGGAGAAACTTCCTTCAAATACTCCTGACTGTGTCAAATTAGACAGAGCTGTAAATCAACCTAGGGACTAACCGAGTGGAGGGCACTGGTCCCCTCAGTAAGGTTAGTTAGGGTCAGTGAAACTTCCTTGTTGTTGGTTTGAGAGACAAACTAGAAACAGCAATTACACAGACATGTCTTTCAGGTAGTTTTCTTGCAAAGGGAAGCAATAATAATGAATTCTCCATTAAATGGATTTATGAGGTGATGAGTCATGGCTTTCCACTTGTTCACTTCTAATCTCAGAGAAGTAACAGCTGATGGGAATAATACTGCAGAGAAAGATGGATGGTATGAAAATCACTGCTGGAGTAGCTAATCAGAAGAGGGAAAGACCTCGTGCACCAGCAGAGGGATTGGCCTTTAAGAGAATTATGACAATTTACCTTCAGGATGAAAAGGGAAGACAGATGCTGACTGGTAAAGAGATGTAACTGTAGGAATTTGTGAAAAACTTTTATGGCTGCTTCCGTTGTCTTAGTAATATAAAGACATCACATCTAAGAGTAAGGATGAAGGAGAGACCTTTCAAACACTTCATTGAGCTATGTTTACCGGGAAAGCCATGTTGAGTGTCTGTCCCTGAGCCTGCAGAGGCAGAATGTGACTGTTAGGAGTGCAGACTCGGTGGACAGACTGCCTTGGTCTGAAACCACCTTCATCACTTGCTGTACAACTTTGCGTAAGTCAACACGCTCCCTAGGCCTCCATTTCCACACTTGGAAAGTAAGAGTATCAACCTCAAGCAACTGTTGGAAGATAAAAGCTAATTTATATAAAGTGCTTAGAAGAATCCTTGGCACATCAGTAATCACTAGATAAATACCTACTATTGTTCTTAAGGAATTATATGCCACAAACCCACTCTGTAATACAGTAGAGCAAAACACATATACTAGATTATTACTTGTGTAGATTTTCTTGATACATAATGTAAAATTTGCTTGAGGTTAAATTAGAAGTCAAACTTTACATTCTCATTAAACAGCATCTCAGAACTTCACTTACACAGATGACTTCCCATTGCGAGGATCTTTGAATGTTGTTGTTCTTGTATTATGATCAACAAAGTACCTCACACCTTCCCGGGTATACCTGATTTCCCAACCTTCTGGCAGGGGTTCTTCATTCTGCAAACTAAAAGATAAAGTTAAAGTCACACAAGGTGAACATTATTGAGATGCTAAAAACGCCTGAATTGAGGTTTACTTGATTCCGTCTTCCGACATGCAAGATCACTTAAGTAAGGCTGTAGTATATACTTACCCTTGAGTTCTGGGATCTTCCCACTGAGTTGTTTTTGTGTTATGATTCACGAAGTAAACTCTGTCTGTTGAATCCACTCTTTTTTCTAAAAAATAGAGTGAGCATGGCATTTAATAACTATTTGCTATATATACATTTCAATATTTTTATCAACAGCACATTAGCTTACCCCAGCCTGGTGGCAAAGGCCCGTATGGGTCATTTTCTGCAGCTAACATTGAAGCCTGATTGGAGAAAAGGATTGGGAGGAGAAGTTAAAAAAAAACAGGTTTTTAATATAAAAGCATAAACTAAGCACTTAGCTGAATCACATTTAATAGTCATTTTCTCAAAAATATGAAAAGGAAATGTGAATATAGTAATTTCAAGGCACAAAATCCTAAAAATGTGATGAGTTAAGAGGAGTTAAATAAGTGATAAATTATTAGCTTTTCTATAATGATTTAGAAATAATGGATCAACATCAGCACGTTAATCTCTTAGCCCTTCTGTAACAGTCCATAAGAGTGAAATGACATGAGAGAAAATAACATACAGAAAATTGTAATGTTTAAATGAGGTAACATTATTTGCTGAAAAACAGTATAATCACCACAGCTCTCTTTAAAACAAATGTCTACTAACATAATAATATTAAATTCCAGAATTATCTTTTAAAAATAAACTTCTACCTTTGTATTAATATATTTTATACATTCAAACACACATAAAAACATATTAATGCTTACAGATCAAGACAACTCAGAAACATATTCAAAAGAAAAGAAACATCTTTACCATCAGTTTTTAAGGAAAGACAAATAAAAAATTATTACCTGAAAAATCATTTCTTAATGATAAAACACATACATCTTGATAAATATTTTATAACTTCATAGCAGATACTATGAATTGTACTCAATATCATTTAGACAACTAACTGCCAAGCTTAGGATGTTCTGTTTGTGCAGAACCTACTTCTGGTGCACTGCTGCTGCTGCTGCCGAGTCGCGTCAGTCGTGTCTGCCTCTGCGACCCCACAGAAGGCAACCAGGCTCCTCCATCTCTGGGATTTTCCAGGCAAGAACACTGGAGTGGGCTGCCATTGCCTTCTCCGCTTCTGACGCACACCATTACCTAATTCTGCCCTATTTCCCCAAGGTTTTCCAGATATACAGCAAATGCACACACACAACCTGTTTAGTACATACAGCTAAAGGAAGGAACATTCCCACAGATTTCTGCACAAGCTACTCAGGAACCAAGAACTGATAGCACAAGATGCTGAGCAGGCTGGGCTGGCTCACCCTCTGATGGTCAGAAAACCAGGAGAATGGACCAACCTTCAAATGAGAACCTTCTACTTAACCTCCCAAAAACGCAGAGCTGAATGAGCCTGCCCGAGGCAGGATTCTGAAGAGCTGTTTTGTGTGTCTTTACTAATTCCTTTCTACATTTTGGGGTTTCAAGCTGCCCCAAAACACTACCTGGAGATGCCCAGTACTTGAGAGTTATACTTTCTACTTCTTGAGATCAAATCTATTTAAAGAGAAGTCCTCTCCCCATCCCCCAAACTCTTGTGGATGTTTGCTTATGACAGTAAATCACCAATTGATCAACTTTTGAGACAGCGTTACACTTTTTTGGACAAAACTATCTCCGATCCCAAGAATACATATTTAGTGGGCCAAAACAGATGAAAGCATTTCTACAAACCAGGGATGGAAACAGAATAGCTGGAATATGGCAAGACTGGCCTTAAGAAAAGTCAGGAGGCAACCAGTTTTTTTTAAAGCAAACAAAATGATTATAACTCAAAGTAGAAGATTGGGAACTAGCCAAGACATATTATATTATTAGTAAATTGTATTTATGAGACTACCTCTTAATAAGGACAAAAGCATGAGTGTATAGCTATGTAAACTAGGATTTAAAAAAAAAAACAAAGTGCTTATGCATATAAGAAACGTTAATTATTTACTAAAGATCAACTGAAAGCGATCTTGCAATCTCTAACATTTAAGCAAGTCGCCCAGGGAGAGGCGGCTGCGGCGGCGCCCCGAGTTACCGAGCACAGGTAGCGCTGGTTGAGCTGCTGCATGGCGCCCTGCAGCTGGCTGCGCTGCGACTGCCACTGCTCGAAGTTCCGCACCGACTCCATGGTGGGCCGCTGCCAGGTGGTCGTCCTGGTGTTGTGGTCCACGTAGTACACTCTGCCCCGGTCATCCACTCTTCGCTCCCAGCTGCCGAGAGTAAACGGAGCGGTGGCAAAAGTGAAAACAAACAACAATCTCTTCATACAAGAAACTGGAAAGCACTTAGGTAATATGTTACCTAAATAATTTAAAAATCAAGTCCAAGACACGGTAAGTTTAAAAGAAAGTAAATACTGATATTCTTCAGAAAATTTATGAACATGTAACTTGCTACCTATTTAGCTAAATTACCTTCCTGTTCTTCCCATACATGATTTCTAAGGACTGTCTAAAAAAAGAGGCCATAGATTGAACAGTATCAGTGTGACTACTCTCCCTCTTTCTTTGATAAACATTTACTGACTGCTAACTGTATATCGCTGGAAGAAGCACAAGCTGGAATCAAGACTGCCGGGAGAAATATCAATAACCTCAGATATGCAGATGACACCACTCCTATGGCAGAAAGTGAAGAAGAACTAAAAAGCCTCTTGATGAAAGTGAAAGAGGAGAGTGAAAAAGTTGGCTTAAAGCTCAACATGCAGAAAACTAAGATCATGGCATTTGGTCCCATCACCTCATGGGAAATAGATGGGGAGACAGTGGAAACAGTGCCAGACTTTATTTTTTTGGGCTCCAACATCACCGCAGATGGTGACTGCAGCCATGAAATTAAAAGATGCTTGCTCCTTGGAAGGAAAGTTATGACCAACCTAGATAGCATATTAAAAAGCAGAGACATTACTTTGCCAACAAAGGTCCATCTAGTCAAGGCTACGGTTTTTCCAGTGGTCATGTATGGATGTGAGAGTTGGACTGTGAAGAAAGCTGAGCGCCGAAAAATTTATGCTTTTGAACTGTGGTGTAGGAGAAGACTCTTGAGAGTCCCTTGGACTGCAAGGAGATCCAACCAGTCCATCCTAAAGGGGATCAGTCCTGGTGTTCATTGGAAGGACTGATGCTGAAGCTAAAACTCCAGTACTTTGGCCACCTCATACGAAGAGTTGACTCACTGGAAAAGACCCTGATGCTGGGAGGGATTGGGGGCAGGAGGAGAAGGGGACAACAGAAGATGAGATGGCTGGATGGCATCACTGACTCGATGAACATGAGTTTGAGTAAACTCCGGGAGTTGGCGATGGACAGGGAGGCCTGGCGTGCTGCGATTCATGGGGTCGCAGAGAGTCGGACACGACTGAGCGACTGAACTGAACTGAACTGTATACCGAGCAATCTGCCTCTATCATCCCTGCCCATGTAAAGGGTTTTAACTCAACTTGTACAGCTTTTTAATCAACCTTCTGTGGCCACACTGCTGCTGAACTAAAGTGCAGACTGAGCCATGCCATTCCGCCTATCACCGTTTGCTGGCACAACAATGAACTCAGTCACCATCTCAGCCTCACCTCCCTTCTCCAGCCTCACCCTCACTTTCCTTTCTTTCAAGGGACCCATACGAGGGACCAAATCAACTCCTGGCAGGCCCCAAATATGTCAGAAGTCTCACCCGCCATGCCTGTTTCAGCCCTCTCAGGACGGAATGCCCTCTCCACCGGCGTCCTCCTGGACCCCTACCTCCAGGGTTCAGTTCACCCCCAGTCAATCTACATTCTTAATTCATAAGCTTTCGATATCCTTTCAGCAACCATTTTCACAAGATAACACACTTGTTGCCTTTAATTTTCTGGACTTTGAATACGTTTATACTGGCGAGCTCTGAGTTGCATCTGGAAGGACTATTAGTGAATACCAGCCTAATAGCACAAGTTTTATTTAGTATGTAATAGGAATGCCTCTTCATTTAAAATGCTCTATTAACTTCAGCCATAATTAATACAATTTTACTTGTGACGATCTTCTAGATAATAATTTTGAATAACACTAGGATCTCTTACGTAAGTATCACACAACTGCATAGTTTAGATCCCTGTCTATGAAGAAACACACACATAAACTACCCTAAATATGACTCTCATTCCTTAAAAAAATAGCAAGGACTGACACTGGATCAGAAGTCTGCAACTCCTCTCAGTAAACTCATGCCAATGTTCGACATCTCTTAATCTCCTGAGGAAGCCCTTCAGACTAACTGTTAATGAGACACAGGGTAACAAATCTCATCTACTGAACGTTTACTATTCACAAAAGCAAATCAAGGAAACATAACATGCAGTAGGAAAGAACCACTTTATATTGCATTAACTGAGCTTTTAAAATCCCATGTATGAAACACAGCTGAAGCCGGAGAAGACATTGCCTTACCCTGGAGGCAGAGGCTGTGGCCTCTCCCATGTGGTCGTCCGTGTGTTATGATCCACGTAGTAGGTTCTACCATGAGGATCTTTTCTCTGTTCCCACCTTTAAGAAAAATACATAAATAAAAGAACAAGCTAAAGACAGTCTGAAGAACAATTCCTGTTTTTCTTTTTTTATGATTCCTTTTTATAAGCCAAAAAATTACAGGTATGTTTTAAAGCATCATATTTACACACAAAATGAAGTTGCTTCTTTTGGGCTTTGTAAGTGCTTAATTATTCCGTTTTCATTAGCAGTACTGGAAACTTCCCAGCTTCCCAGGGGGCGCTAGTGCTAAGGACCCACCTGTCAATGCAGGAGACATAAGAGATGTGGGTTCGATCCCTGGGTGGGGAAGATCCCCTGGAGAAGGGCACGGCAACCCACTCCAGGATCCTTGCCTGGAGAATTCCACGGACAGGGGAGCCTGGTGGTCTACAGTCCATTGGGTCGCACAGACTCGGACATAACTGAAGTGACTTACCAACGACAGCACACACTGGAAACTCAGGAAGTTCATTTAGCAGAGGAAGACAGAATAACACCCAAAGTTTTTTAAAGTTACTAATTCACGGAATTTCAAATCATCACCAAACAGAAATTTAATCAAGGGCTGAAGAAACTGTCACCCTAGCATCATGCCCAAAGGAGAAAATGTCAGTGAAGTGACATCTGTTTGGGGAAATGAAAAAATGCACATCTAAAAGAGTTTAGCAGAAACGGCACTGAAGTATGGCATGAGACAGTGCCCTGCAAACCCCCTCTTCTATCTGCACACAGGGTCTGCTTTTGTGTATGTCACCCCTCTCCTGTCTCTGGTGCGCCTCTGAGTTTAAGCGCACCCTAACTTAGCTTCCTCTGCTCCATCTCAGACACATCCACCTCTTCCTCCCCCTACCCTTGTTCTCTCCTCTGCGCTCCTTCATCCCTCCTCTCTACTCTCTTCTTGGCATAGCACAGAAGAAAAAACTTTAAACGTTGAAAACAAAAACTTCATATTTCTGAGTTTAACATTCTTGTTCTCAGCTGAGAGTAGAATAAATGGGAAATATTTTCCTCTCAAACACGAGGATTCAATTTAATTTGACTTCTTTTTAACTGGAGAAAAGTGAAACTGAAAGTTGCTCAGTCATGTCCAAATCTTTCTGACCCCAGGGACTAGGGCCTGCTGGGCTTCTCTACCCCTGGGAAAGAATACTGGACGGGTTGCCACTGCCCTCTCCAGGGGATTTTCCTGACCCAGGGGTCAAACCCTGGTCTCCTGCGTTGTAAGGAGTATAATGTAAGAGTGTACTGTACATAACCGAGTGTACCATCCATAAAACGGGCTATGACGCCGTTTTCTAATTTGATCCTAAGTTAGCTGGAAATAGCTCTAATTCAATATTCAATATTCAGTAAGCACTTAGGTTCCAACTATAATTCTAGCCACTAGTTCTTAATTTTTCCGTATCACTTCCAGATTTCAGGGTTTTCCTCCAAAGAGAATTTATCTTACTCAAACTAAACTGTTTGCTACACACATCATATGAAGACCCCCTTCTGGATATCATCTTTGTAATTTTCTGCATTCCATTCATTAGATCACGCGAAGGTAGCCTTTTTCTGTGAAGTACTAGATAGTAAATACTTTAGACTTTGTGGGCTAAAATACAAAGTCAGGACTATTATGTAGGTACTAACATAATAAGAGCAAAAACTCCTGTCATGCCCCACTGCATCTTCCTGAGGTAGGTCACCCAGGCTGTGGATGTGCCATGTTCCCGCCCTCTGCTGACAACACTCATGGAACAGAGAACTCCTGGCCGCAGGGGAGGAGCCTGGTCAATTCCACCACCCGCCCCAGTGACCAGGATCTCAGGGTGCTTCTCCTTCTGCCCCAGCAGCTGGTCCACAGGGAGGCAACTCGCTGAACTGTCACTCCCAGAGTGAGAGTTTACCTTTTGGGGCAGGACCACTGCCGAGAACGAGCCCCAGTGCATGTGGGGTGACCAGAGCTAGTGTCGGGCAGCAGTGAGGAGGGACAGTGCTGGCGGGGGAGACAGCGGGACGAGGGTAAGGGGCTTGCCCTGGGCCTGGCCGAGGACTCAGCGACAGCCAGCTACAGCTGAGCCCGCGCGTCCTGCAGCAGTGACGGGTCAAACCGCTCAGAGACTAGATCGTCCCTGCAGTGGGAATTCCTAAGACCCTTTCAAACAGCTGCAAATTACCAGGCCAAGTGATGGGACTCCCCAACAGAATTCTTCAATTTCAAGGGGATAAGTGCTAATTTATAACTGCTACATGTCACCTTCAACCATAATACTCTCCTGTCCCTACTATTCTGATATGGCTTCCGTATCTCATATATACACATTCCTAAAACTTACTGCTGAAAAAAACCTTATTTAAAAAAAGGAAAGTAATAGTAAATGTGGGAGAATTTTGCTAGATGTATTATAGTAAAAATGACAGGATGTAGTAACTGACTGGGTAACGAATGGGCTCTCACAAACCAGCCCCTCTCTGCTGCTGCTCGGCTTGCTAACCTCTCTGCTGCCCACCCTTTAGGTCACTCTCATCTTTTAAAATAAAAAAAGTACTCCTCAATACTGGGTCTTTTCTGGCTTGCTTCTACCAAACGTTCCTCTTTCCCTGTGTGTTCATAGGGACAAACTTGCATGCACTAGTTCTCACTCTTTCAAACAGTTTTCTATCACATTTCCACCCATTCCATTCACTCCATCACACAGAAATCGGAATACAGCTTTCCTTCCCAGAAATCATTCTGTCAAAGGTCAACAATAAATAATCTCTTTGTGGCTAAATTCAACGGTGCCTTTCAGTTCTCATGTTACCTGAATTTTCAGTAGGTTTTGACCTTGTTAACAATTTCCTCCAAAGCATTTACAAAGCCAGGGCCTTTGCCCAATTGCTCACTCACTCAAAATCACTGCATCAAGCACTAGTTCACTTATGTTTACTGAGTACCTGCTAATGGCAGGTGTTGTTTCAGGCACGAGGGATACAGAAATGGACAAAATAAAGCTCCCTTTTCGGTGTAGTGGAGAGAAAACTGATAAATACACAAATATATGTGACATAATGATTTAAGTGTTGAAAAGTAATACAAATAACATCATGCTGATTAAAAGGACCCTACTCAAGAGTTTATACTGATTCCATTTATGTGAAGTTCCACCACAGGGAAAACTAATCTATAACCTATTGTGGAAAAATACTTGCAGGGAGGAACAGCGTTGCCTCCCTAAAAGTGGGAGCAGGATTGAACGAAAGGGGCTTGAGAGAACTCTCTAAGGTGACGACAGCACTCTCATCTTGATAAAGGTCTGCGTTATTCCCACCTGTCGAAATGCAGCAGTGACACACTTAAGACTTAGCCTTTCTATGTAAACTTCACCTAAAAACTTGTAAACAAACACCGAACTCTAGTGAATGACATGCAAGCTCAAGTTCTGAGGGGCAAAATGTACAACTACAGCTTACTTAATTAGACTTAAACATCAGACAAATGGAGAAGTGCAGAGATACATGATAAAGCAGAGAGAGTAAAATATCAACTACAGAACCTAGCGATAGACAGATATACGGGTGTTCACTGTAAAATTCTTTATATTTTTCTGCATGTTTGTAAATTTTCTTAACAGAAGGTTGGGAAAAAAAAAGGCGGGGTTGGGGATAGGGACAGGGCGGCCTGATTTGAGGGAATCAGGAAAGGCCTCTGGAGCAAGGTGACGTTTGGGCAGAGACACGCACATATCTGAGGAATAACACTCCTCATAGAAGTCAGAGAAAATGCAAAGGGCTTTATGTAAGACCACACTGGGCATAATCCTCAGGCTAGAACAGGCTCCCTTCAGAGCACTCGTAATTCTGGGCACTAACGAAATAAGTCGCCAAAGAGACAAATTACAGGAACTAAAAAAGATTTCTGAGGAAAGAGAGAAGATGATGTAGATTTGAAAACTGCTAAGATGCTTACAGAAGCCAAGTACTGCCTAAGCCAGAAGAACCAATCTTGGCCCCACTCTCGCATTCCACCTCCCACAGCTAATTCCCACAACCCACTGTAACATCACCCCAAGAAGACTAGCATCCACCTTGGGGCAGTCTATTTTAATTTCTCACTGGGGTTAGTAGCTTCTAACCTTTACAGGCAACAGCTCAGAGAGTAAGAATACATCTTACATGAATGCATCTGTTCGTCCTAGGCTGCTATTTACCTACAGATTTTACACACACAAAAGCACACCAGAAAAACAAACTTTCAGGAAGCAACGTTTACTTAACACACTCCAGGTTTCCACTCTGGTCAATATTGATTTACTTTATTACGTTTTCAAATGCTGGTCACAATCTATTACTGGGTGCAACTTGCAATTTGAAAATCACTCATCTAGATTCCTCATTCATGTAGATGCCTACAAAAGTCTCTTCATGCAAAGTTCACATACAGTGGCTACAAGCATGTGGAAGCATTTACCTGGCCCCACAGAATTAAGTTTATGTACTTATCATTTTAAACAGGAATGTGCCCACTTTTCTCATTTATAAAAGCCTGGCTTGCTTTGTTCTGCTTTGTCTTCTTAACTCATCTGTCTATACCACTTCTAGAACAATCTTGAAATGCAAAAATGACTGTGCCACTCCCCTGCTTAAAATTCTTGGGTGTTTATTCATGGTTCTACCTGGGGCGGGGTGGTGGGGGTGGTGGGTGGACTCCCAAAGCTTTAACAGCTATACAGAACTCTTCAGAGGGCTGTTTACTCTTCTGTACTACACAGTCTGCTTCCTCAAATGCTCAACTCAAGCTGTAACAAAATACCACTTCCTGAGTTGTTTATTCATTTCTGGGTGTCAGAGATCTGAACATGCAGTTAGCTCCACTGAAAATGAAACCTTTCAGCACATGTGCCTTCTTCATTGCTTTGCTAACGCCTACTCCTGTTTTAGAAACCACTGAAGGGTCATCTCTTCCAGAAAGTATTCTTTGATCTCAGTATCACAGGGTATCCTATTAAACCCCCTCTACACATGTTCCCCCCCACAGCACCCTAAACTTGAATGTCTATCTTAGCTTTAATTAAATTGTATAGTCAATGACTATTTACTTATCTTTATCTCCCATCAGATCAGAGGTTCTTGACAGTATGGAAAGCTTCTTATATATCAATGTCATAAGGGCAAACACGTGAGACTAAGATAAATGCCTAATGATAAGTTGTCAAAGAGAAGACAAAGGAACGCTGAGAGATTTTTGAGAGGAAGGAAAGATACTACATGGCCAAAAATGCTTGCAGGAGACAGTGGAGATTTCCAGTAAGTGGATAAAAATAAGCTCAGAGAAAGGTCTGGCCTGGACCAGACACTCAGACACTACTGAGTGACTTTCACTTTCAATGAAAACCTGAGTTTATAACAGTGCTTCTCAGCAGACTTACTGGATCGCTCCCAGCACTGAGTACAAACAGAAAAAAAGATGGCTACTTGCTTCAAGCTTAGCCTGGGAAGGCAACAGTAAAGAAAGCTAGAGAACTGAGGCTATTATAGACAGAGTCACGGTCACTCTTTTCTAAAAGTAAGCCAAGAATCAAATAGACAGTCGTGGAAAATAATATAAGGTTTTTTCTTCTTCCAGTCATATAGCACATGCTGTAACTAAAACTTGCAATTGTTCTTAGTTTTAAAGAAATACTTGGTTTGTAGCACATAAATTGTATGAATTAGATTCCAACTTAGATTTCAAATAACTGAACAATGGAAAAATTTCATATACATATTCAACTCTCAGGTTGTTATTAAAAAGTTGCTATTAAATGTAAGCCACACATGTTTAAAAAAAAAAATAACATACCCTGATGGCAGCGTTTCTGTGTTGGTACTTCCAGACTGCTGTCGGGCAGGTTCCATACATCCGTCCGGCTGTCTTAATTTGGCTGCTTCAAAAGCAGAGCTACTTGCAGAATTGGAGATGGAAGGATCTGACGTATTTTGAGCTTCAGATCCAAAGGCTGCACTGTTAGAGACAATACATTCATTGTTTTCCGAGGAGGTCAGTGTTTCTTGAACTGGAGGGTCTTCAACAGGAGTACTAGTGCAATTTGAAGACAAGGTGGGTTCTCCAGATACTATTGCAGTACCCGTGCTGGAAGCATTATCAGTCGGTGCAGATGAGGGTGAGTCTCCATTAACTGAGAAGGGAAAATCAGTAAGATGGTCTGTCAAGAAACGACCAAGCACCCAATTAACTCATCAACTGTATTTATTCAGAGCCTAATTCACACTGAGCAATGTATTACGTACTGATGGAAATAAGATAGATAATACTTTTTGTGGCTCATATTTTTGAGATGAATGTTAAATAAAAAAAAACATAATATATATGTAACAATAACCCAAACTTAAGGAAAGAGAAATCAACATGAACAAATGTTTTTTCCTCCAAACAATCAATTCTGAATATCTACATGGACTATATAAAAACTTCAAAATGACCCCATTCAATCTCCCTTTTCCTATGCAAATACAGATAATATCAAAAGAATTCTTGTCAAATATAAAGTGGCATTAACTCAAGACAATATTGCAGAGGACTGCAAAAAAGATCCAGGAACTCATCCTACACTTGCTGGAGAACTAACCCAGCATTGAGATCCAGTGACATACAATTTTTAAAATTTTCATTTTAAATGGAACCGATCCATTTCAACTACATGTCACTATAAGAGAAAGTCAAATTAAAACTGGGAAGGGAACAGATTATTGAATAAAACCTATTAGAAAATTACACATCAAAGTTCTAACTGAAACAGAGGAAGGAGACATAATTAAGAGTAATGAAATGGTCAGGTAGATTTTTGAAGAAAGAGATGAGATGTAAACATTGGGAAGAAGAGAAATGAGTACTATTAAAAGGAATCAAACTGCAGGAGCAAAACAGAACCAATCAAGTTCTGTACCAACTACAGGGGAGAGCAACTTTGGAAGAAAAATACCAATAACAAAATATAAGAAATAAAAATGTACACTGCTACCTGTATTCAACTCTTAGAAAACATGAAGAAAAGAGAATGTGCACAGAGAGAGTAAATTCTGGTCTCTTAATATGATATTCAGAATTCATGGAATATATGATGTCCAAAAGTAAACTTTTTCACTTAACTTTCAATCTTGAACAACGTGGAAATTGACTTCCAAAAAAAAAAGAAAAGAAAAGATTAGCAACAGTCTTTGGAAAGCAAAATAACACTAAATGGAAAAAGAGGAATATTTGAGACAAGATAATCCAGCCCAATAAGAAAGAATCATAAACCCTTATCATACTAAAACATAACACATGCTAACAAAGTGTTAAAAACAGAAGAGGAAAATTAATTATTAAACAGCAGCTTTTAGTTGTTCAAGGCAAACCCTTCTCTCCTACAACAATTCAGCTCCAAGTGCTCTCAGCTGTTCTCTCCATCTGCACCACCGCCCCACTCACTGTTCCTCGTCCCTGCAACAGCGTCCTCACTGGTCTGCCCGCTTCCTCTCTGGTCCAACTCCAACCCACTCTCCGAACAGCAGCCAAAGTAATCTCTTAAAAGCGTACAGAAGATCTTTTCACTCCCTAATTAAACACACCTACTGCACCCAGAGTAAATTCCCAGTTCTTTACCATGGCTCCTGACAAAGGCTCCACACAGCCTGCTCCACAGCTACACCTGACTTCCCATGGTGGTCTCCCTTCCGCCCCTTGAGCAGAGTGAATGCCTTCCCCTTCAGGGATTTGTACTGGCTGCTGCGATCGTCTCAGAAGAGCTGCTGCTTCTTATCACGCAGCATGCAGGCTCAACCACTCCTTCAGAAAGGCGTGCTCAGGCACCTTATTTAATTCTGCGCCTGCCCCACCCTCAGCCCAGGCTGCCTACTAGACTGGTTTGCTTCTCATGTTCCGAAATTGTTTTTCCTTCTTTTTCCTTTAGTTCAAAATGCAACACTTTGTCAGACTTGTTCCACTTTAGTATTCTCAACAGTTACAATGCACCTGGCATATGAAAACAATAAATGTTAAGCAAAGGCAAATCACAGAAAAAGAAGTGAACATATCTCTCTCAATACTAGGCAGAAAAAAAGAACATTAGTAGAAACATTAATTAAGTACACGAAGGACTGAATGACACAGTCAATATACCTGTTCTAAATTATAGCATTAGAGAGGTAGTTCTTAGTTTTCATTACATACATATTCCATCCAAACAATCTAGGAATTTTAAGAAAACAAAACAAAACAAAAAATGACATGTAAAGGACCAAAGGAAAATTCCAATTTTACAATCAGGAGGTGAAACTCTGATCGTAATTCAAGAAAACTAGAAATAAAGCAAAATACAACTTACTGAAATGTTTACTGAAAGTCTGGCAGATTCTGTAAAACATTTTTTTAAGGATTATCTTATTTAATTCCCACAGAACAATGCTATGAGGAAGATACTATCCATTTTACTAGTAAGAAAATTGATGCTTACATGTCCATAAAAATGATAGCTCTCTGCCACCTGCAAACAATTTAGCTTAGATTTTTTTTTATAAAATCCTAAATAATTATTAAGTTAAAGAAAAATAACAGTTATGAAATCACAAACTTTAAGGAAATTAATGGCATGGAAATACTTGTATGAAATATTTGACATGGCAAAGAAGTATCCAAGGGTATAAGAAAGAACAGCAATAAATGAGCTTAGCATTCAATTCCAGAGCCAGGGGAAAATGGTAGAAGGAAAGGAATTATAAGAAAAATATAATAGATCAGAATTTCCTAACCTGATTAGAATCTGTTGGATATTGTAGAAAGTATAGATCTCAGCTTCCATTCTAGAATTACTGAATCTCCTAGGGAATCTCTGGGATCTGTATTTTTAGCAAATGCTTCAGATGAATTCTTACAACTAAAGTTGGAAAAACCATGAAATACTGCCTTAGCAAATTTTATAAAGAAAAATACAGTTTGCATAGCATGTGGAATACCATGTATAACTTTCTATCAGTAAGTCTAAAATATATTAACTAAACTAACTCAAGAGAAAGAAAAATAGATCAATCACAGTAGAAATGTAAAAGGGGATAAAAGATAGAAAACTGTCCCTCCAAAAGTCAACAGACTCAGCTTTTGAGCCTTCAAGGAACAGATTACCCCTCTGTTCTCTGAAATGTTACAGTACATTGTTGGCGAGAAAGAAAAAGGAGTTTCTTAATTTATTCTGCAAGAGTAATATAACCCTAAAACTGAAACTGAATAAACATTGGGTCAATATTAGGAAATTATGTTAGGAAACCATGTTAACAGGTTAAAAGTTAGAAGCTACATGATTATTTTCAATACAAACCAAAAAGGATTCAAAAAAATCTTGATAAAACTGCTAAGAGGAATCTAGGAAAATTCAAAAATAATCTAGTTTATCCACCAGAAACCAAGAGTAAGCACAATATATTAATGGTAAAACATTAGAAGAACTATTATCAAGATCAGGAACAAATTTTAAAATCAGAACAAAACAAGGAAGATCACAATTACCACTCCATTTCAATACTATGGGTTATGTGTGAAAATGCATTAAGACAAGAGAGAAGTGAAAAATACCAGATATAAAATGGTAAAACTCACTGAGAAGATAAGAGTATTTATTTATATCACAAAAGAATCAACTGAAAAAAACATTAGAGGCAATTAATTTGACCAAAACTTTCAGCACCATGATCAGAGAGATTCAAGTTCAACATCAAGGATTACACTCAAGACCTATCTGAAGAAAAAGAAAAAACGTTTCTAAAAGGTATTTTAAAACATAGATTGGAGACAGAATTCTCCCTGAATGAGAAGATTCAGTGTTGCTTCAAAATTTAAAAAGTAAACTATCCTCAAAGTGCAAAAATTTTCATTCACTGGTAGTGGAAACGTAAAAGGCACAGCCATTCTGGGTGTCAGTTTCTTACAGAAGTAATAATACTCTTATTGTATGATCCTGAAGTCACGGTCCTCAACCCAGCTGAGCTGAACACTTAGGTCCACACCAAAACCTGCACATGAATATTTACATCAGCTTTATTCATAATTGAGAAAAACTGTAAACAACCACAATGCTTGGTCATGGACAGGTGAACGGACAAACTGTTGTACATCCATGCAATGGAATATTATTCGGCAACAAACAGAAATGAGATATCATGCCATGAAAATACAACAGGTCAGTTCAGTCGCTCAGCTGTGTCCGACTCTCTGCGATCCCAAGGACCACAGCACGCCAGGCCTCCCTGTCCATCACCAACTCCCGGAGTTTACTCAAACTCATGTCCATCGAGTCGGTGATGCCATCCAACCAACTCATCCTCTGTCATCCCCTTCTCCTCCTGCCTTCAATCTTTCCCAGCATCAGGGTCTTTTCCAATGAGTCAGTTCTTTGAATCAGGTGGCCAAAGTATTGGAGCTTCAGCTTCAGCATCAGTCCTTCCAATGAATATTCAAGACTGATATCCTTTAGGATGGACTGGTTGGATCTCCTTGCAGTCCAAGGGACTCTCAAGAGTCTTCTCCAATACCACAATTCAAAAGCATCAATTCTTTGGCTCTCAGGTTAAAATTCATATTTCAAAGTAAAAGAAGCCAGTCTGAAATGACTACATATGACATTGTGAAAAAGGCCAAACTAGAGAGACAGTAAAGGATCCGTGGCTGCTATGAGTGTGGGAAAGGAGATGAATGAGTGGAGCACAGCAATTGTTAAGAGTGAAATAATTCTGAATGATACTGTGATGATCAGCACATGGCAATATGCATTTCTCAAATCACACTGAACCCAGGCAATACCAAGAGTGGACCTTAACATAAACTGTGGGCTTTTATTAATCATAATGCACTTATACTGGTTCACTAATTATATTAATAACAAATATGCCACAACAATGCAAGATGTTAATAGCAGGGCAAGTTCTCAGTGGGGTAGGTACAGGGAGCATGCATTTGATTAGGATGACTATTCATATATATCAATGGCTCTCAACTGGACATTCACTGAAGACATTTAGCAATGTCTGAGACATGTCTGGTTGTCACAACTAGGGGAATGGGTGGGTGTTATTGGCGTCTAGTGGGTACAGGCCAGGAAGGCTGCTACGATCCTAAAATGCACAAGGACAGTCACCCACAACCGAGAAT